AAGGAAGTTACGGGATGCACCAAAAAAATGCATCCTTATCCCATTTTTTTACTTAAATATCTCATATAATCTCATCCATTTAATGCTCATTACAAGTGTCAAGAGTTTGTGGTGAAATGCAAGGTAAATGTGGCTGAAATTAATGAAAGGATGTGTTTAAATTTCAAGGAGGAAGAGGTGATGGTCAATGGAAATTTGTAGAAAGTAGGGGCCAAAATGTGATTAAATGAAGATAATTAAATTAACTACGTTTTTAGAATTCCTTCCAAAATTTTGGCAATTAGCACTTTTTTTTCTAATTTATACTTATTCCATATAAAAGAAATTTTCTAACTAATTTACCCAACGTTTTTTTATTGTTGTAAATATTGACGTACACTAGTTACTCTCAACAAATATGTACATACCACGTATTTCAATACATATGTTGACACAGTTACTGATTTTCACGTACGTAACCGATATACTATATATATACGTATGAATATAAATATCTCGATACGTACACTTATACGATTACGGATTTTATGAGGGTTACAATATTTATATCATTATCCCGAAAAAAGATTTTTATTCGTGATTTTGATAAAATAAAAAGGAAAATGAGCGTTTAAAAAAAAAGGCTAGTTACCTTCAAATGAATTACAAGAGGAATGATCTCTCTCTTGTAAGGAAATGAAAATAAAAATGGCAATAGAAATGAAAAAAGGAAGGTACCTAATGCTTTTTGTGAGTTTTTACAAAATGTATGTTTTAAGAAAGGGTTCATTAATTACACAATCGGCATGGTGCACCTAAGAAATAAAATGAATTTCAAAATAGCACATAAATGATTTTAATTGCATCGGGGGCATTTCATGTATGAACTAAATTTATTGAGCATCGAGTTATTTTTTCATAAACTACAATTATCAATATCCTAGAAAAAGGAAAAAAACCTCGACATAAACACAAGTAAATTATAAATTAGTTTCTCTATTTTCAAGAAACAGATTAATTAGTTTTCTTATTTCAAAAACTAATTATTTAGTTTATTTACTAACGATGACCACACTTAAATTAATATTAATTTATTTTAAAGCATATTTTTTTATCAATCCTTTGATTTTTATTTTTATTTTTTTATTTCTTAAAAAATCAAAATAAATTGAAAAAAAAAGAAAAAAGATCAAATTATAAGAAAAAAATAAAAATATAAAGACTAAATAATTTTTTTTTGAAACAAGAGGATTAGTTAATTCGTTTATTGAAACTACGGTGATTAATTTATAATCTACTCCATAAAATACATGTTTTGGGCCTTTTGCCCTAAAACAAGTTTTCCATGCCCAATTTTCTTGCTATAGCTAAATTTGGTTAACAATTTACTAAAAAATTAAAGGAAAACGTTCGATTACTGGCGGCGTTACTATTTGAAACACTCGTACACGCTCTCATATTTTACTAATCACCTTCTCACAATTCATTGTGGGTTTCACTATTCATGGCCATTTTTTTACACTTTGGTCTCTAATATTTTCAAATGCATATTTCGATCCATATGTTCATTTGCTTATTCATTTTGGTCCATGGGTGGAGAGAGAAGACTAAGAGGAAGAGAGAGACGAGTAGGAGACAAAGATCGTCGGCTAAGCTCATTTAGGCCACTCTGGTCGATGAAAATCCATTAGACTTTTTTTGTTTTTTGTTTTTTTATCTTTGAGAGATGAATTTGTCTATGATGGTTTCAAGCCATTGAACAATTAGAGGAGATAGATCGGAGTCAAAAAAGAAAAAAAAATCCAATTTGATTTTATATTTTTCTTTGTTTTTGTGAGTATTAAAATGATTTTTAAGATTTTAGATGTATTTATTGGCTTTATTCCGGTCATTTAGAGGTGCTTGGGAAAAAAATGATACCGAAATTCAATTTTTAGGTATGTGAAAGTTGACTCTTGATTTTCTAGCGAACTTCAGACGACTTCGGTTGGTCGGAAGTTGCAAGTTTTTTTTTTTTTCCAAGCAAGCCACGGCGAGCGGGCTCGCCTACATAGGCCAACCACACCTAGCCTCTCTCACTTTTTTTTTTTTAATGTGCAAATTGGTTGCACGAGCACAGTTGGCTTGCGAGCACGCGCTTCTCTCTCCCCCTATATATATATATATATATATATATATATATATATATATATATATAGAGAGAGAGAGAGAGAGAGAGAGAGAGAGAGAGAGAGAGAGAGAGAGAGAGAGAGAGAGAGAGAGAGAGAGAGAGTATAATTATATTAATGTTACTTGTTTAAATTTATTTTTTAATTATTTATCTCTTATTAAAATTCACATCAAGTTAGTTTTTTTATGATTTTATTTGTTAATAATTTAGTTTTTAATATATGAATTTTGAATTAAAATTTTAGAACGTCATTATTTTATTTTTTAAAATATATTATTATAATTTATACAATAAATTATATGTGTACGTGTATTAGGTGTGTGTCTCTTTTTTTTTCTATATATATATATATATGGAATTAGGTGTGAAAAACATAAAAAATAAATTCGTTATAATTTTTAGATTATAGAATATATATGATATATTTTTTAGATTTTAGTTTGAATATGCATATCTTATTTTATTACTTTTATTGTTTAAAAATTATTTATTTCTTATTAAAATTCTCATCATGTTTATTTTTTATATGATTTTATTTGTTAGTAAAATTAGTTTTTTAATATATGAATTTTGGAATAAAAATTTTAAAAAATAGTCTTTTATTTTGTTAAATATATTATTATAATTTATACAATAAATCCTTCTTTTGCTTTTTAAATGATTTTTTTATTTTTAAAAATATATTGTTATAATTTATAAATTCTCACGAGAGGGAGAGGGAGAGAGAGCTAAAATTATGTTTTAGATAGTTTGACTCTTTTTTTTTAAATAATAATTAGTTAAAAGAATTCATAAGTTTTATTTGCTTATATATATATATTCGAATTTATTGAAACCAATTTTATTATAGTTTTTATTTTGATCCGTTGACTTCAATATGTTTCACACAATTTAGGTGTTATATGTGTGTGTGTGTGTGTGTGTATCATTAATTTTGTTAGAAATTAGCTATATATCTACACATATGATACCAATTATTATTTATTTCTTTTTTTATTTTTTTAAAATTTATTTTTTAATAAAATAAGTTAGATAGTTTTTGAAAGAGTCGCTTAATTATTTAAATACAAATTTTTATATTAATATTATTAAATATTTTTTTAATTAATATATATAAATTAAATGATTTCACTTAATATATAGATTTTATTTACATCAATCACCGTAAATAAAACTTTTACTCACGCCGCATCATGTAAATAGTTAATTATATGCATGCAACGATTGTTTTATCGCACCATGGCACAAGTATCTTATAATATTTTTTTTCAATCTAAGATTTTAATTGTATTGTGATTTGATCACATTTTATTTCAGTGTTTTTTCATAATTATTTTTATTATTTCAAAATTTCTACTTTAATTTGTCATTTTTCTTTTAAATTCTTATCCAATTACTTTAAAATTATATGGTCCTCAAATTTTCTATACATTTTTTTTTAAATTTTAAACTTTAATTGTATTGATCTAGCCCATTTGTTTAATTTTTTATTATTTAAAATCTATAACTTTAATTTGTCATTTTTTTTCAAATTCTCATCCAATTAATTTAAAATTACATTTAATGATAGTTTTCATTCATTTTAATATTATTCATTCTTTTTCTCATTCAATTAATTTAAATTTATATGGTCCTCGATTTTTTTATACAATAATGTTTTTTTTAATTTTAAAATTTAATTATATTGTAATTTGATCCCATTTTATTTTAGTGTTTTTTATTGATTATTTTTATTATTTAAAATTTACTACTTTAATTTGTTATTTGTAAAAAATTCTCATCCATTTAATTTCAAATTACATTAAAAAATTTAAAATATTTTTTTAATTTTTATTTTATATATTTATATCGTCAAATAAATTATTAAATTAAAATAATTTTATATATTTTATCCTATTCACAACGTAACGCTAGCAAAAAATCTAATTAGTGCTACTTTAATTGTATTGTGATTTAGTCATATTTTATTTTAATATTATTTTAATTATTTAAAATTTACTACTTAATTTGTCATTTTTTAAATTCTCGTCCAATTGATTTAAAATTATTTTTACTCGATAGTTTTGATTTATTTTAATATTATTTATTTTTTAAATAAATATATAAAAATTAAATTAACGCTTTTTTTTTCAAAAATCGATATTCTAATCAACATTAAGTAAAAATAAAAAAATTATTTGTTCAATTCTATATAAACTTTTAATAATTTTTATTTTTGTTTTTTAACACAATCTTATGAGATATTAGAGCTTTTTAAAAAAAAATTATTTAATTTTCTTTTTAGTTAATAATCCATCGATTAATAAGGATAAATCCTTTTTCTAAAAAAATTATAAAAAACATAAATAAAAAATAGTTAAATAAAAATTTTTGATTAAAAAATTATAAATATTTTTTTATTTTTGATTTCGTATGTTTTTATAGCTTTATATCATAAAATATATTATTAAACTGAAATAATTTTATATATTTTATCTAGCGTAACGGGATAAAAAATTCTAGTTTTATTATATTAGCAGCTTAGCACCAGTAAAAAAATTATAGTTACTACTATATTTTGAGAAGTGGACTTGGAGAGAACAATACTGCTATAGGGGGAAGCGGAAGGAAAACCCCAAATTAAGAAGCTACCCTAAAAAACAAAGAGGCGCGCAGCCCTACAACGAAGGAAAGGAATCGCAAAGAACCCTCGGAGTATATCCCTGTTCCGGTACGTGCTCTTTCTTTTTGAAATTGTGTGCGCTTAAGGACTGTTGTCAACTACTTGAGTCTTTCCTTGTTTCGACAGCAGACAAAAACATAAAGCAATAACAATCAAGAAACCAGAGCCCAGAAAGAAAGCAGCAAAAAAATGGGAAGGAAGAGATACAAGAAAGGACCGCTGCCGCAACAAAACCCTAGTGTTGCCGAAGATACTCGCGTTCGAATTTCTCAAATTCTTGAAAGGTTCCGTGCTGCACCCGATCAAGGTATCATTAACTCTACCACAAACACTCTCGAAGATACCTTGTTCTCTCCTTCAATTATTTGATTTGGGTGTTTCTCACAGTGGGAATTGCTTAGAACAGTAAATTTTCAAATGGGTTTTGCTTTGTTTTATGGTTGGAAGTAATGAAAACGGTGGCAATAATTATTATTATTAATTTTTTTTTTAAATTGCAGCAATACACTTTTTTTTTTTTTTTTATGAAAAAAGTAACTCACTTGTGTGATGATTCTTGTTCTTTCATTCAAGAAAGCAAAGCAAATACTGTTTAATTGGTTGCTACATATCAGCTAAGTGTGTCATGTTATCGAGGAAGCTAATATAACAAATCTTGGTAGTATTTGTTCTACGAGGATGCCTATTGGTCAGGTCACAGAAAACAATATTTCTTTCTTCAATCCGTTTGAGGTTTTCATTTTTTCCTTCATCATTGGTTTAGAACAAAGAAATTATCATGTTGGTTTTGCCTAGTTCTATGTGTTCCAGTTTAATCTTGATTAATTAGAAGAACGTTAACATTATCATCACGAGGAAGAACGTGGTGTTTGCTATCCTTATATTGCAAATGCGATTATTTGTTATGGCCCACTTGAGAATTTATTTTGGAAGATGGTATATTGATGTTTGGATGCTGCATGCAGTTTACACATTCGAAGCTAACCTGTCAAACTTTGACCGTGCTGTGGTACACGAGGTGTGCAAGAAAATGGGTATGAAGTCCAAGAGTTCTGGGTGAGTGCTAATTTATGTGTCTATGTTTTATTTGATAATGAAAAAACTAACATTTCAGTTATACAGTTTATTAATTTTAAAGAGTTGTACTACAGCAAGATCTCTTGCCTTATTATTGGTTTTCTTTAATACATGACTGTAGAAATGCTTATCATTAACTTGGTTGTAGTGATTTCTGATTCTAATGTAGTCTCTACCAAACCTGAAATTATGTATAGGAAAGGGGGTCAGCGATGCGTTTCTGTTTACAAGAATACAAAGAAGGTAGACGATGTGAAGGGGAAGGAAAACCTCACTCATTTGACATTTTCAGGAGAATCGAAGATGGCTTTGGGAGAACTATTTTCAAACTACCCGCCTGAAGAAGGAGGCTTTGGGGCAAAGCTAGGTGGAAAACATAGTGGAACTGCTGGTAGAACACGACAGAAGAAAGATGATATCTTCTCTAAAACTTCCAGTAAAAAAGCAGAAATTGCAAAGAAGGTTGAATCGTTTGCTTCTAGAATAGAAAGGGACACCAAGTTAAAACAGGTTATAGAACTTACCACACTGATTTGTAAATTTGGATAATTTCCGTGGTTGGATGCTGTATCTTTATTATTGTCCTGCTAGCAGAGTTTAAAGATTTTATGCATTTCAGTGATGGCTACTGGAGAGGTTCTATTGTTCATTCCCTTTTAAAAATCTATTAACTTTTGCAAATAAGTAGTCTGCCAGCAAATGATTTCTGAGATTCTATCATATGTGTGCAGATTGTTGAAGGGAGGTCTAAACTTCCAATTGCATCCTTTAGGGATGTCATTACATCTACTATAGAATCTCACCAGGTAATGCCTAAAGTTTTTGCATCGATGATTTGTATGTTTGGCTCCTTAATTGGAAATTGCATTAGACATAACTTTATTATTGACAATTCTTTATGTCTATCAAATATGTGTTGAATGCTGATGTTGTTGGAGTAAGGCTTTGTTTCTAAAAACTGATTCCTTGTTTGCTTGGTTGTTATGGTCCCGAGTGAAGGATTTTGTCAAAGGTCGATTAACGGGGAAATCGTTTAGCTTTCCCTTGTTCAAGTTTTGATTCTTCCTTGAAGAACCTATGGTGACGGATAACAATGGGTGCTTTGTTTTAGAGACCACCAACTCTCCTAGGTTTTCTTTGGTTGAATAATCTATAGCTTTATTCAGCATCTACTCTTTATATAGTAGAAGCGGCTGAAAAACAAAGGTAAACCTAATAGGCTATTGCTTAGATAGACTCACACTAACATAGAAATTCTTAATTAAAATATCACATCAATTAGGACTCTCATATTCTTTTTCTAATCTGACTTATTCTTAATAAATAATAAATAAAAGTAATAAATAAATATCCACAAGATCTTAGTTACCCTCCTTGCGCTGCTACCTTCTTCTATACTGTTGTTCCACAACATTACACCCCTACTAGACATTGAGCTTGTCCTCAAGCCTAAAATGAGGATAAGTGTCTTGTAGGGAAGTGATCGATTCTTTTGTAGCATCATCAGGGTGCATTCCTAGTCCCTGTTATGGCGTGGAGGGAGGTTGAGATCCAAGACGGGTCTGGTTCCTCATTGAAGTCGTCCACCAGCAAGCAGAACAGACGTTTACACAGGTGCCCAACAGAGAATGATTCATCACAATTGTAACAAAATCTCTTTGCTTGCCTCTTTGCCATCTCTGCTCTCGATAGCTTTTTAATGAAATTTGTTGATGTAATTCCCGTGTTGGAAACCATGGGCAAACTTCCTCCCACTTGTTTTGATTCATGGTTGACAGTGAGTGGAGTTGAACCTGTCATTTTTTAGGAGAAACCAGTTAGAAGGAGTGCTTCTCACTCCAATTCTACCAGAGAGTTGCAGCTTTCTGTCGAAAGCCCGAGCTAAATTCATAGCTGTAACCAGATTAGGGGGTCGCTGCATCTCAACATCCACTCATAACGCCTCCGTAAGTCCTGCGGTAAAAAAATCAACTTGCTGATCACCCCTGACAGAAATAGCCCTATCTAGGAGTGTCTGGAATTGACTTTGATATTCCTCTACTGTGCCGAATTGTTTCAGATTAGCTAGTTCCCCTAACGGGTTGCTGCTCAATGGGGGGCCAAATCGCAGGAGGCAATAAGACTTGAATTGCTCTCATTTTAGACTTGTTTCCTCCTGTTCCAATAAAAAAAACCACAGTTGAGCCTCTGCAGTCATTTGGAAGGCAGCCGGGCCTACTTTGTCTCCCCTTTTGTTCTCTGATTGAAAAAAAAAATTGCTTGCATCGGTACAGCCACCCCAAAGGATCCTCCATGTCACTGTAAGGTGGAAACTCTAACTTGGAATACCAAGGAACCGATGCTGTATTGGTGCGTCCCTTTGTTTGCAGCACTTCAGGTCAGTTCACAGGATGAGAGTTGCTACCAGACCCCATCTCGGTTTTTGAAGCCTTACCCTTGTTCAATGATTGTCGTTCCAGCAGGTTCTGAATCGTTCTCATATTCTCCCTCAATTCATGCAACTCCTGCCCCATTTTGTGGAACTCCTGACCAATCGTGAGGTTGAATTCTGTCAGGCGGCGATCCAAGTCTCGTACTCTGGTTGATAGTTACTTGTTATCACCCATGACGATCGGCTCTGATACCAATTTGTTATGGTCTCGAGTGAAGGATCTCGTCAAAGGTCGTTTAACGGGGAAATCGTTTAGCTTTCCGTTGTTTAAGTTTCGATTCTTCCTTGAAGAACCTTTGGTGACAGATAGCAATTGATGGTTTGTTTTAGAGACCACCAACTCTCCTAGGTTTTCTTTGGCAGAATAATCAATACCTTTATTCAAAAAGCATCCACTCTTTATATAGTAGAGGTGGCTGAAAAACAAAGACAAACCTAATAGGCTATTGCCTAGACAGACTCACACTAACATAGTAAGTCTTAATTAAAATATCACACCAATTAGAACTCTCATATCCTTTTGCTAATTTTACATATTCTTAATAAATAATAAATAAAAGCAATAAATAAATATCCGCAAGATCTTAGCTTCCCTTCTTGCGCTGCTATCTTCTTCTTCTATACTGTTGATCCACAACATTGGTTGAGTGGCTTTTTGAAGGTTGTTATAGCTTATTTTCCAAAACTCAATAGTTTAATGTTTTTATGCAGGTTGTTCTCATTTCTGGTGAGACTGGGTGTGGAAAGACCACACAGGTGATCAATTCTCTGCTCTGTCTTCTTTCTGATATATCTAATATGGCTAGCAGTAATTGTGTTTCAGAAGTAGCTTTTGTTTCTTTACAGGATAGGTTAGGCAAATATGTGTTTAAATTGCTTGGTTGAAAAAGTTGGGTTCAGGTACAAACTTAAAATGCTGTCAGTAAAGATGATTTAGAACAATTTTGGATAAGTAATCCCACAACGGATTCATAGTCATCTAGGTTTGGAGAAATAGGGATTTTAGGTGGGAATTAGGGGGTTTAATGGGCGTGGAACTGGGATGGTTACTATAGCTGCAAACAGTAATCCGAGGTACTGTAGCAAATAACATATTGAAGAAAAACGAAGATGAAGAAAAGAGCACTTAGATAGAAGAGAAGAAGGGAATGAAGAACACAAGGCCACGCCTTAAAATAAACAAAAGTACTCATAATTCCATTATTCAAATCTTAAGATTACAACAATAGGTGCTCCATTTATAGGCACATGTGATGAGGCATTCTTTCTAATAAACCTATCATTATTTTCAGTTTCGTTGAGTTCTGAACTTATTAAACATGATGCAGGTGCCACAATTTCTTTTGGACCACATGTGGGGAAAGGGTGAAGCATGTAAAATAGTATGTACGCAACCTCGACGTATCTCAGCAATATCAGGTTTGTGCTACTTCTCAAGCATGTGAAGTTCTGGCGTTTAATATTTTTCTTACATCCTTACTTCCCTCACCTGATGGCAAAATTATATGCTTTTGATTATTTTTGTGTCTAGTTGCTGAGAGGATTTCTTATGAAAGAGGAGAAAATATTGGAGATGATGTTGGATACAAGGTACTTTTCGCAAATACTTGATGACTATTACAACCTTGAACTGGGTGATTTGAATAATTGGACTAGTGCAAATTCTTCTCTCTTAGTTATTAGCACTTTACAAAAGTAACAATAGAGTTGGAATATCATTAGGAGACAATGTCTCTAACGAACTTTAAGGGCTTGCTTGGTTTCAGGGAATTGAAAAGAAGTCTTCATTCCAACTTTAGGTGTTTGGTAGTCAATACTGATAGATATGGAATGCAAATGAGGTATGGTATAGAATGAAATTTTAATATGCTTTCATTCTCGTGGGGAGAGGTGGATTTGTAGGAGAATAGGAATGAAAATCACCCCACATGACCATACCATTGTGATTACAGCAGCCCACACAAAACCTCTATTTACCGCCACCGCTTGGATTGTCTCCCCTACAACCACACCAATGCCCTTCCCATGCCTTACCACCACCATCCTGCTCCATTGTCCACACTATATCCATTCTTCACTAGCACTGCCATCTACTCCACACTGTCACGCCACTAGCACAAGCACTATTCTTTATTGCCTCTCTTTACTTGTATGAACATGGTTTTGTTATCAAGTCTTTATTCCCTGTTTTGAGTTATATGTATTGAATGCAGTAATGAGGTTTAGTTTGCAATTTCTGTTCCCTGTGTTTCTCTCTCTCTCTTTTATTCCCAGAAACTAAATGGTCGTAAGGTGCAGCGACTGGTAGCTCAAGCAATTTGATCCAAGTTAAACTATGTCGAAAGTTAAAATTTTAGATTTCCCTCTATTAGTTACCATTTGGATTGGTTATTTCCATTTCGTACCAGAATTACTGTTGGTACTCTTCGTCAAAATGCAAAACAATGTCTTTGGGTAGCCTGCATTAGTTAGTACTGATTTCAAGGGAAAGTTGTACAATAAGTTTGTGGATGTCTCACCATGAACTAGTGATTTATCTTTGGGTTCGTGCAACACTAAATCAGGAAAATGGAATATTGTATCCATTAAACCTTGCTTGCAGAAGCTTCACCTTGGATCCTAAATTCCTCATTTATCATCTTCTTCTACACATGGAATTGGCTCCATATTCATATACTGTACTGCTTCTGACTTCATTTTTAAATATTAGATTCGTTTGGAGAGTAAAGGTGGGAAGCATTCATCAATTGTGTTCTGTACAAATGGGATTATATTGAGGATGCTGGTTTCCAAGGGCATCAATGGGTCACAGATTGAAGCTAATACACCAGCCAACGAAAATGTTTCTGATTTAACACACATTATTGTGGTATTTAGCTACACTCTTCCCCATAGCTTTCTTCTCAATTTTCCTTTTCAATATTATTATGTCTCTTGATTTATTGGCATCATGTTATATTTGTTTGAGGTGACATCGTTTGATTTGCATTTTCTGTTTGATGGTTTTATATCTCGGCAATAGTTGTTGATATTTGTAGTCTACTTGTATAATTTTGATAAAATAGATTTTATCTGAAGAAAGAAGATACATACCAACAAGATGAAGGATAAGAAATCCTCATGAGAAAAATAGAAAACTGTCAAATATATAGAATATCTAATTCCGTGAAACATCAGATAAAAGAGCAGTCTCCCTTGAAACAGTGTACATAGAAGCATAAAAACTCAAAATTCTATCCTGGAGCAGTTGCCTTGGTGGTGAATGTGGTGCAAGTAGTTAAATAGAGAAACGAGGAGAGATAATGAATAGAGAAATGAAGATGAAATAAGCACATAAATAGAAAGTTTTGATGTTTTACCAGAATCATTTGGAAGGGGGTCATTTGTTAAAATGGAAAGGACATCGAAACAGCAGTCAGCATACTCTGATTTTTAGCACTGCCTTCAATATTTCAAGAATACCTCCATGACCTCAGTTGATTTTCCGATCCCCATTATTTCAGCTTTCTTCATAAATACATCTGCTATTTGCGATAGGTTGCTCTCTAATGACTCAATTTTTGCTGTGCAGGATGAAATTCATGAAAGGGATCGCTTCTCTGATTTCATGTTGGCAATTATCAGGTTGCAAATACTCGATTTCAATTTTTTCTAGCTGTTCTCTTGCTTTAAGTTAATAGCTATGACGATAATTGAGTCTGAATTAGGATCTTTTTAGTTGAGGAAAATTTGTTGCACGGGATATAACTCCAAGATACATAAGAATCAATGCTGTGTTTAATCACTTTTACGAGTAATTCTTGCACATTTGCCATTATTGGATTACTTACTCTGATATTCATAACTCATGTGCAGGGACATACTTCCTTCACATCCTCATCTTCGTCTGGTTAGTTTAAATTCTTTTGTTCTATTCTAAAAGGATCTGTCAACGGTTTTAGGATTGTTTCTTTATCTTCAACAATTTTGATTAGTGATTGATTTTTGCTTTCTTACAATCAAACCTGCAGATATTGATGAGTGCGACTCTTGATGCTGAACGATTTTCACAATATTTTGGTGGCTGCCCAATTATCCATGTTCCTGGGTTCACTTATCCTGTAAAACTTTTTCCAAGAGTGTCAGTTAAAATCATTTATCCTTAATTATCTTATCCTTTATTGTTATTTCCTTGTGTATTATTCAGGTCAAAACTTTCCATTTGGAGGATGTGCTTTCTATCTTAAATTCCAGAGATAATAATCATCTCAGTTCTGCTATGCCAAATTTTCGGGATGAAGGTCATGAGTTAACAGAGGAAGACAAAGCTGCTTTAGATGAAGCTATTAACTTTGCTTGGTCAAATGATGAGTTTGATTCCCTCCGAGATTTGATTTCTTCTGAAGGAACCCCCAAGTTGTACAATTATCAGCATTCGGTGAGTGGGCTGTCGCCACTAATGGTCTTTGCTGGAAAGGGTAAGGTTGGGGATGTTTGCATGCTCCTTTCTGTGGGTGCAAACTGCAATTTACAGGCAAAGGGTGGATTAACAGCACTGGAATTGGCTGAACGAGAAAACCAGCAAGAAGCCGCAGAAGTAATAAGAAAACATGCTCACAATGGCCTGGCTGACTCCTCAGAACAACAGCAACTAATTGATAAATATACAGCAACAATTAATCCTGAACTTATTGATGTTGTTCTTATAGAGAAGTTATTAAAGAAAATATGTGTTGATTCGAAAGATGGTGCTATTCTTGTTTTTCTTCCAGGGTGGGATGATATAAATAGAACGCGGGAGAGATTACTTGCAAACCCGTTTTTTAAAGATGGTTCCAAGTTTATTATAATCTCTCTCCATTCTATGGTTCCTTCTGTAGAGCAGAAGAAGGTATTTAAACGCCCACCTCAGGGTTGCCGCAAAATTGTTCTTTCAACTAACATTGCTGAAAGTGCCATTACTATTGATGATGTGGTATATGTCATAGATAGTGGACGCATGAAAGAAAAAAGTTACGATCCTTATAATAATGTATCAACACTTCAATCATCCTGGGTATCTAAAGCAAGTGCAAGGCAACGAGAGGGACGTGCAGGACGTTGTCAGCCTGGAATATGTTATCATCTTTTTTCAAAACTTAGGGCAATTTCTTTGCCAGATTTCCAAGTTCCTGAAATCAAGAGAATGCCTATTGAGGAACTTTGTTTACAGGTAAATTTTCTATGCTCTCTCTCTTTGAGTGTAGGCATGGGTTTCAGATGCCTTGGAACTTCTGTCACTAGGATGGGAAAGCTTTTGATTGCTTATTTTTTCTTTCCTTCTTTAATTCTTGTCCCCATTACAGGTGAAGTTGTTCGATCCCCATTGCAAGATAGCAGATTTCTTGCGAAAGACATTGGACCCTCCAGTTCCTGAAACCATACGCAACGCAATTGCTGTTCTTGAAGATATTGGGGCTTTATCAGTGGATGAAACATTGACAGAACTTGGAGAGAAGATTGGTTGCCTACCTGTTCATCCATTGACGAGCAAGATGCTTTTCTTTGCAATATTGATGAATTGCCTGGACCCAGCTTTGACACTGGCATGTGCATCTGACTTCAGAAATCCATTTACCCTTCCTATGCTGCCTAATGAAAAGAAGAGAGCTACTGCTGCTAAGTCTGAGCTTGCTTCATTGTATGGCGGGCACAGTGATCAGCTGGCAGTTATAGCAGCTTTTGAGTGCTGGAAGAATGCAAAGAATAGAGGTCAAGAAGCAAGGTTTTGTTCGCAATACTTTATCTCTCGAAGTACCATGAGTATGCTGCAAGCCATGCGTAAGCAGCTGCAGGGAGAGCTAATTCGCAAGGGGTTTATTCCTGAAGATGTCTCTAGTTGTAGTATGAATGCACATGTGCCGGGTATTGTCCATGCTGTCCTTGTGGCTGGTTTGTATCCAATGGTGGGGAGATTCCTTCCCCCTAAAAATGGAAAGCGTGTTGTAGAGACTGCTAGTGGTGCTAAGGTTCGGTTGCACCCTCAGTCCCTAAATTTTAAACTATCCTTTTGGAAATCTAAGGACTACCCTTTGGTTATATATGATGAGATAACCCGTGGAGATGGGGGTATGCATATAAGGAACTGTACTATCATTGGTCCACTGCCATTATTACTCCTCGCGACAGAGATTGTAGTTGCTCCAGCAGAGGATGATGATGAAGAGGACGACGACGACGACTATGATAGTGTAGATGGAGCTGAAAGTGAGGAAGATGGAATGGAGACAGATCACAAATCAGGCACACAACGTGGTGAGAGGATCATGTCCTCTCCTGATAATTCAGTTACAGTTGTTGTGGATCGGTGGCTTTATTTTGGATCAACAGCCCTTGATGTTGCTCAAATTTACTTGTTGAGAGAGCAATTATCTGCAGCAATCTTATTCAAAGTAAGAACTTCAGTTTCCTTCTCCTTTTCTTTTCAAGAGTTTGAATGAGATTCTTTCTGGTGCAAACTTATATATGAGGTCTCCTCCATCAAACCTTTTAGTTTACCTATATGAGTTTGACATTGCCATCCATTTTTCTTTTAGGTAACACATCCTCACAAAGTACTGCCTCCTGCTATTGGGGCCTATATAAATACTACGGCTTGCATTTTGTCCAGTGATGGGCTATCTGGGATCTCATTACCAGCAGAATCTGTGGAGTCACTGACTTCAATGGTCAATGCAACTGAGATCGACAAGTCTGCATCAGTAAGGAGAGATACGAGTCAGAATCCAAATAGCTTCCTTAGCTCTCTGATGAACAACCACCCACAGCAGACCACTCCTTCCCATTATCACAACGCTAGGAGTCTAAATCAAAGGCCTACATTGCAAGGCCCCACTTCAGTTGGGCACAGTTCTGGAAAGCTAGGACCATCAGGTCCAAGGGGAGATTCCTTTAAGCGGCAGCGTGGAAATGCAAGCAAACGGCATGTAGACCATTTATAGGGATTCAACTTGTTTTATAGAAAGATCGTGATAGTGATATTGGCTGGTTCTTAGGCCTTGTCCAGGCAATGTTCTAGGATAACAGTCCCTTGTTTTTTCGGTTGGGCTAATGCATAAGTAGCCGAGTAATGTTAAGAGTTGTTCCTTTTCATTTTGGTCGATTATAAATTTCTCTACTCTTGAGCAGGTTTATTGTTTTTGGGTACCAAACTGATAAATTCCCCTCCATGGTGATTTTTGATACACTAAAACACTTGGTCCATTGTTGTTTGCTAGCCGCTTTAGATACCTTAGAAGCGTGTATACTACTTTTTTCAAAAAATAACAAGAGTTCTATGAACAAAACAAAATGGAATCCGTTTTTATGAACATTTCCTGTCCATCGTTTTATCATTTGAGGCACTCATAGGGCCTAGTTGAAATTACACAGGAATCTGTTCAATGAAACCAAAGAAACTGTGTTCTAACCTAAGTGCCTCCAAGCAATTGAAGAGTTGAGGTTTTTCGTTGTCATCTTCTCAAAAGGCTATGCATCCTCTACTTGGTGTCTTGATGAGCATGTGCACATCCTGGAATGTAGAAAGGAAGGAGGCCAAATTGTTTGAAATTTATGTGGGAACTTTACAAAATTACCAGCTAGCATTGGAAGCCTTCCCAAGCCTAGTACACTTAGGCTAAACAAATGCAAAAGACTTGAATACATCCCGGAGCTCAGTCAAGCTTGATATCACTGGAGGCGAAAGATTTCCCTTGGCAGCAAAGTATTAACTTGAACTTCTGGCGAGGAAGAGACCCGAAATTAAATGGTTGCCGAAACTTGAAATGCGTAGAGGGATTTTTCAATGGAACTCTTAGGAGTTCAAATAGCGGAAAAAATTCTTGGAACTTGTGACTTGGACACAGAAAAATCTTTCCCAAGAGCTGAAGTGCATACGATCCATAATCTGACGAGAACTGCCACATTGAGTCCTCTTCAGGTGTCTTCTCTCTCCCTATCCATGTAAGTGCGTGCTGACATGACTGCACACACTGATACGTTTGTTTGGCTTGCTTATGTACTGATCTTATGGTTCAAATGCAACAGGCTGTTTGTGAAAGATATATTTACTGCATCATTTTACCAGTGAAGGATATTCCAACATGGTTCAGCACTTCAGCCATCAGAATGAAGGAGATAAAGTATACTTGCAAGTGCCCTCACTTAATCGTGATTGTAAAATAACAGGATTTTTTATATCGGCTGTTTATGCATGGAAAGATTCCTCTGAATCGTGCTATTTATCCACCAATATCACCGTTATTAACAGGAAAAAAAAATTCCACTGGATGTATGACCCACGAGTCACCTTCTTTCCATGTGTAGTCGAACATGATATGCTGTAGGTGAGCTGCTGGTTGTTTGGGAATAAAATAGAAGACATTGATGTCGAAGTAGATATGAACTGGAGATTCCGGGATGAGATGGAAGAAGGAGATCAATTAGATGTCTGGATTGACATGGGTTTAATTTGGAATTGTTGTGAAAAGATGTGCCATCCACTTGCTTTACCAGCACAATGCCCTGCAGGGTTCCCAGTCAAATGCTGTACGAGCTGCTATTTCGCGTGCATGCTTCTCGTAACACCACGAAGTAACCATTTTTCGAAGGTGGTATGGGGAGAAAAGTTTCAAGAGGTAAAGCATTGATGCAATAGGTATAACAGATTACAAGATCGTTATATAATCTTGAAATCTTCGTTTCTGTTCCATAGAAAAGCAGTTCATTACTTGCCAGAAATAAAATAGCATTAGAACAAGTATCCTATTTGACTTCAATATTTATTTCCCATGTCTCGATGAAATTTAATCATAATTTTAGTTGTATTCCCAATTTGCTTTGCAGATGGTCAAAGAAAAGAGAACAAAGGGTAGAAGAGAATCCAACGGCGCATCCTAGAAAATAAACCGTGCAACTTTTTTGCTATGTTAGGCGAAAGTATCACGCAAGTTGGAAATAGTCAAGTAGATCCTCGATATCCTGTTTAGCCCTTTGCTGAACGAAGGAATTCATTTCTTGGTTCAAAGCAGATTTCCCTGGAAAGAGAGAGAAGTTTGTGCTTTGCTTTCAAAGAGAAGCAAATCTCATAGAGCTAGCCTCCAGTTTTTGCGGACAAAGATTAATTATATTGTTGACCTCCTGAGCTGTTTGTCTTGTTTTACTAGATGCATCTTGACATATCTGGCGTTTTGCAGTTGCAATCTTCTTCAGTTTCTCCTTGCATCTCATCGAAGCTGCTCTATGTTTGCCATCTATATATGCTCCGTGTTTTGATCCTCTGACAGTAAAAACCTGAGGTTACCCACCAATATTTGCACAAATGTTAGTATCAACACCAAAAAAGTTAGATACAGCAGCAACATTTAATTTAGGTTTTTTTTTTTTTTACATCTTTTACATCATTTATTTTTTTTTAAGATTTAGTTCATTTTTTAGTTTTCTATTATTTATTCCAAAAATTAACAAGTACATAAATAGTTTTATGATGGAGATCATCAGTGAAATTTGTTTAGAGTTTTCTAAAAGAATTTAGAATCATTCCAGATTATTTATTATTATTTTTATATTTTTAACGTTCAATAAATAAATAAATATAATTTTAAACTTTGAAAAATTCTAAAAATTTCCTAGAAAATAGATTGAATTTTTTCCAGTGAATGCACAAAATTTCAAAAATTGAATTGTTCAAAAAAAGAAGAGTTATAGCTGAAAATTATACAATGAACTAATTTTTTTTTTTAAATAAAGATGAAAATATAAATTCAAAATTGAAAACATAATTTTGAAATAAATTAAAATTTAAGAGAGGATTGTGCCTTTCAGCCTGTTTAAAATTTTTAGTAAAATTCAGGAAAACATTCCCTGGACTAATTTCATCATTTTAAGCAACCCATTTTATAGTACCATTGGCAGCCCTGGTCATGCGGGCAATTGGGCATAAGATAAAAAATAAAAAATAAAAAGTCATGTGTATATATACTGCGGTACCTGTTGCATGTAATAAATCCGTAGAAAGGTACGTACCATTGGCCATCTCAAAAAGCTTCTACCAGAGTTGACAAGTCAAGTAAACGCCGTCGTACAGATTGCAGAAGAGCTTAAACCTAAGGGCAAGATCTGCCAAAAAACCACAAACCCATCTCTAAGAATGGCTTCCTCAAACTCCAAATCAAAAGGGCATTACGATGTGTTCTTGAGTTTCAGAGGTGCAGACACAAGGAAAGGTTTTACAGATCATTTATATTCTGCTTTGGTTCGAGATGGAATCCACACATTTAGAGATGCTAATGAGATCAATAGTGGTGAAGAAATTGGAACAGAGTGTCTCCAAGCAATTGAAGAGTCAAGGTTTTCTGTTGTCATTCTCTCAAAACGCTATGCATCCTCCACTTGGTGTCTTGAGGAGCTCGTGCACATCCTCAAATGTAGAAACGAAGGAGCCCATGTTGTTTGGCCTGTCTTCTATGACATAGATCCATCTGATGTTGAAGAGCTGAAAGGAAGCTTTGAAGAAGCTTTTGCTGAACATGAAAAGAGTTTCAAGGATGACATGCATAAAGTGGAGAAATGGAAGGATGCTCTCAGAGAAGTTGCTTACTTGAAGGGTCTGGATCTACAAAAACATCTAGATGGGTAAGTTACTACTTCATCAATTGCAATAGCTTGCTGATTCTCTTTGAACAAGAAATAATAATTAAATTGCATCCATCGCTATGCTTCATGGAATCACATTGGTCATTTCGTTTATTTTAAAATTCAGTAATTATGACTTTCTAATTTATATATAGTGTTTTCTTGTTAAAATTATTTAACTCTAAAGTCATGATCATTTATTTTGAAATTTACAGTTTAGATTTAAGGAACATTCTCACCATGAAACCATACTATTTGTATACAAATGACTTCATTCCTCCCAGTGTAAGAGAAGAACCAATTGATTTAAAAAATTTTAATCGCAAGAGCTGTGTTGATTCTCCAAAGCAAATGACTCCAAACTTATTCATTAAATAACCAAAGAAATACATTGATTGACTCCCTGCTTCAGTGGAGTTTCAACTTCGGTTATGTGCATTTGATTCTCTAAGATATTACTCGCATGGTCAATTCCTTCTCATCATGTTCCTTTGTTTTTCCCACTAGTGAATATAATATTAGGCTGCTCATTTTGTAGCACAAAAAGTGCCTACTGATCAAAAGTCTTACGATGTATATAGTTTCTAAATTGGCTCTAAGACCGCTCGACTAGAAAACAAACTCATAGAAATCATATGAAATTGCTAGTGTACTAGAATTAAGTTTTAATAATACTAAAATGCTTGGCGTTTAGCATGGTCCTTTTTTACGTTCTTCAGTAGACATGTCTCTAACCGGCCAACATTTAGCTGGTTTTTTTTTTTTTTTTTTTTTTAAATTTAGTTGTCCTGACGTACCTTTTTTTTTTTTTTTTTGTAGATTAACTTGTTTTTTCTGTTGGAGTGTAATATAAAGCCATTCATAGCGTCTTATCCAATAGTTTAAATTTTTTATATTCTTTGAATATCAGAGTTTAAATGATCAAACAGTTATGAATGTATGCGTTTTTTTAATTTAAAACGATGTTTTAGAGAATAATATACAACTATTCATGAAACTGCATTTTACAATTTAAGTTTTTAGGTTGAGATGGTTATTTAACATTTTGTTTTTGCTAACTAGTTAGCATGCACATTAGTCACTAATGGAATCAATCTGTCAAAATTGAAAATAACCTTTACCTGCCTGTGCATAACCTACGAGATCTAGCACAGATAACCTCAAGCATGGTGAATCCTAGAGGAAAGACATTGGGCCAAGTATTAGTGGCTCTCCGGAAGTAAATAAAGGGATTGTAGCGGATTAGGATTTGAAAAGTTAATTAACCACGCCTAATATCAAGAAATCAAAAAAGCAATCAGCCAAAAGAACAAAAGAAAAGAAAAGAGAAAATTAAGAAACCTAATTTTCATAGGAGAACAGTTCCTTATCAATTTATCATATATAATTAAATATTATGATCATCGTGTACATAGAGGATTTGCTATAAATTTCCCTTAATATGATAATATTTTCATTCTTTATTAAAATTTTCCTTTCATATCATGTTTATTTTGGATAAAGATTAAAAAAAATCAGAATAATAAGGCATTTTTAGATCAATGCATTGTAGAAAATGCCTGTTTGTGTATTTATTTCTAGTGCTCTTTTCATGGAAAATTGCAGGCATGAAGCTAAAAACATAGACTATATTGTTAAGGAGATTTCAGTCAGACTCGATCGGACAATCTTAAGTGTTGCTACCCACCCAGTTGGGTTACATTCTCGTGCAAAAGAAGTGATTTCGTTGCTTGATGATAAGTCAACAGATGTTCGCATAGTTGGTATATATGGGATGGGAGGCATAGGCAAAACAACTCTTGCCAAGAAGGTGTACAATTTCGTCTTCGAACAATATGAAGGTAGCTGCTTCCTTGAAAATGTTAGACAGCAAATTATTTCCAAGGGCATAGCCTACTTACAGAGGCAACTTCTCTCAGAGATCTTGAAAAGAAAACATGAGAAGATACACAATGTTGATAGTGGATTGAAGGTGATAATGGAAAGATTATGCCGCAAGCGTGTATTCATCATTCTGGATGACATTGATGATAAGCTGGAACAATTGGATAAAATTCTTGGGGATCTTGATTGGCTTCTCCCTGGAAGCAGGGTGATAATAACAACTAGAATTAAGAATCTACTACAACCATCACAGTTTTATCAACAATATGAGGTCAAAGGATTGGATGCCAGCGATTCTCTTCAGCTCCTAAGCTTGCTTGCCTTCCACAAGCGCTGTCCTGATGAAAATTACATGGATTCTGCGAGAAGAATCGTATCCTATGCAGGAGGAAATCCACTAGCTCTTACAGTTTTGGGATCAGATTTGTGTGGCCAAAACATTGATGTATGGAATAGCAGATTAGAAAAACTAAAAGTGATTAGCCATAAAGGCATTCACAGCATACTTAAAATTAGTTATGATTCTCTTGATTCTGCTGAGAAGACTATATTTCTGGATATTGCATGTTTTTTCATTGGGTACAACAAGTATTATGTCATGAGCATACTTGATGGTTGTGGTTTATTTCCAATTGATGGAATTAATACTCTCGTGAGAAGATGCCTTGTAAACGTTAGTATTAATAATAAGCTATTGATGCATGATTTGCTTCGAGACATGGGAAGAGAAATTGTTCGCGAAGAATCTTCTATGGATCCTGGGGAACGTAGCAGATTATGGCATAAAGAAGATGTTGTTGAAATATTAACTGACAGAACGGTAAGAGAATAATTGGTGTAGGTTTGACAGGGAGATATTTCTTATCCAAAAATTTGTTTAGTAAAAATTGTTTTCATAAAAGCACTTCTCTTTTTCTTTCTTGATCCATCTCTTATCCTAAATCTTCAGTTTGGAAATCAATGGTTTAGCATATGCACGCATGCTATAATGTCTATTAGCTAACAGATTCCTTTTAATCAGGGTACTAAAGCAGTTCAAGGCCTCGTTCTAAGCCTGCCGGGATCAAAAAATACATTCAGTACCAAGGCATTCAAAAAGATGAAAATGCTAAGGCTACTCCAACTCAATTTCGTTTGCCTTACAGGAAACTATGAATATGTTTCTAATAAATTAAGGTGGTTGTGTTGGTCCGAATTCTCCTTGAAAGCTATACCAGCTGATCTTACTTTGGAACATTTGATTGCACTCGATATGCGCTATAGCAGTCTACAGCAGTTTTCAGAGGAAGTAAAGGTAGATTATGATTTATTTATTTATTATATTTTTTTTTCAGTTGTTGTACAAATATATCATTTAATTTAACAGGTATCCATATTTATTACCAACTTCTGTTTTTGTGCTGCAGTCTTTGAAAAAGCTGAAATTCCTTGACCTTAGCCACTCCCATAAGCTTATTGAGACTCCTAACTTTGAAGAATTTCCCAGTCTTGAAATCTTAAAACTTAAAGATTGCATTAGTTTGGTGAAGGTTCATGACTCCATTGGATTTCTCGGTCATCTTCAATTCTTGAATCTGCAAGATTGCAAGAACCTTAAGAATCTTCCCCAAAGCATTTGTGCTCTAAGTTCACTTGAGAGACTAAACGTGTCAGGCTGCTTAAAATTAGAGGAATTGCCAGAGCAGTTGGGGAGTTTGCAATCCTTGGTTGTGCTCCTTGCTGATGAAACTGCAATAAGCATGCTACCAGAAACCATTGGAGATCTGAAAAATCTGGAAAAATTATCTTTGTATGGTTGCCGTCTTATCTTCTCACCAAGGAAATGTCCGCCAACAAAAGGGGTCTTCCAGCATCTTTATTGGAACTCGATCTCAGACACTGCAACTTATCAGATGACATGATTCCTTCTGATCTTCAAGGCTTACCCCGTCTGCAAAATTTGAAATTGTGTGGAAACAACTTTAAAAGCTTACCAGCTAGCATTGGAAGCCTTCCTAAGCTTAACCGACTTTGGTTAAACAAGTGCGAAAGGCTTCAATGTATCCCAGAGCTGCAGCCAAGCTTAAAGTTATTGCACGCAAAAGATTGCCCTTCGCTAGAAATCATCAACCTTAAAAATTTTAGTGGGGATGGACATTTGGAACTCAATGGTTGCCCAAAATTAAAAGCAATTGAGGGATACTTCAACTTGGAGCCCTTAGGATGGGAGATTGCTGAAAATTTTCTTGGAACTTGTGGCTTGTTCACAGAAGATTCCCTTCCAAGCATCAATGTCCATGTGATCAATAATCTGACGGGAGCTGCTACAATCAGTCCTCTCCAGGTGCTCTCTCTCCGTCTTTGTAGTCTGTAACACGTGCATGGAGCACAGAAATTATACATTACCATGGCTGCTTAATTGTAGATTAAATATCATTATTCTCTTTCATGGGTGCAGGTTCTTTCTGAGAAATCTATTTACAGTATCTTTCTACCAATAAGTGACATTCCGGCATGGTTCAGCCATCAGAGTGAAGGTGACACAGTTTCATTGCAAGTGCCTGCACTTGATCCTGATTGCAAAATCAGTGGTTTTTCTATATCGGCAGTCTATGCGTGGGAAAATTCCTCTGTATCTTGCTATTTTTGCCCCATAATAGCAGTTACTAACAAAACAAAAAATTTCCACTGGATGTATGACCCAAAAATCACCTTCTTTATGTGCGAAGTGGAACAGGATATGCTGTGGCTGAGCAGCTGGTTATTTGAGAATCAAGTGGAAGGCATTGATGATGCAGATATGAGCTGGAGGTTTCGGGATGAGATGGAAGAAGGGGATCAACTGGATGTCTTGATTGACATGGGTTTTGGAATTGCTGTCAAAAGGTGTGGCATCCATTTGCTTTACAACCACAACGACCTGAAGGGTTCCCCATCAAATGATATAGTTACTATTTCACATTCCCGATCTTCAAGACACTATAGAAGGTTGCTGAAGTCAAGTTTTCAGTGGCTGACATTCAAACGCCCTCAAGTAGCACCATACAAAAACGAATGGTTAACGGATGATAAGCGAAGTTTCAAGAGGTAAAGCATTCATGCAATAGTCCTTGCAAAGATTACAAGTTCATTGTCATTTATTATTTTTCACAGGGATAAGTTCATTACGTGATCTTGAAATCTTATTTTACTTTCCATTGCAAAGCGGCTCGTACTTGCTGCCCTCAAAGAAGGGGGAAAAAAAGTATTAAAACGAGTATCCTTCAAATTGCGATCCATCGATTATTTCCTAGTCACTACAAATTCGCACACAATTTTAATCACTTTCTCCATTTTCTTGGCAGATGGTCAGATAAAAGGGAAGAAAGGACGAATAAGATTCCAACTGTGCCCCTAACAAGGTTTCCTTGTGCATGCTGTGCTATGTTACGTTGCACTAAAGAGAGGAAAGACGCTTGGAAGTCGGAAGTAGATCCACAATGAACTGCTTCGATCGCTCTTTATTAAATGAAGGTGTTGGATGCATGCTTGAAAACCAGTTTATGAGCGAGTTTAGCATAGTTTATAAAAAAAGAAAAAGGATTGTTTTCTAAAAAGGAAGGAAAAGGGAAAACAAAAATATATTTTTATGCATTTGTGGCATGAAAAGAAAGAAAAAGTTTTTTTTTTTTTTTTTTTAATTCCGGTTTATGAGTGATTTTAGCCTAACTTATAAATAAAAAAAAGAATATTGTTAAAAAAAGGAAGGAAAAGGGAAGACAGAAGTATATTTTTATGCATTTGTGGCATGAAAAGAAAGAAAAAGTTTTTTTGTGTTTTGTTTTTCTATATATATACATATAAAGAAGTTGGTCTTTGTTATTGAAGCTTTAACGCACTTACCGAGAGAGAGTAACTGTGGGAGTAAATTATAAATTATTGGAAACAAATTAATTAGTCTCCTTTAAAAAAAATTAATCACTTAGTTTTTCACATTTTAATTTCGTCTATAACTTAATCATTTCATCACTTTGTTTTTCACATTTTAATTTTGTCTATAACTTAATCATTTCATTAATTTTGTTACTAAATTAATGATTCTTGTTTCTAAATTGTCTTTTTTTTTAATTTTTTGTTCGAGGAGAGAGAAAATAAGTGAGTAAAAAAGAGAAACAAAACATTAAAAAAGGAACAATCTAGCTAAATAACTGATGAAAAGATTAAATTATTGGTGGAATTAAAATGCAAATAACTGAATGATCAGTTTAAAAACCAGACATTTAGATAGTTGCCAAAACTTGAAATGCATAGAGGGATTTTCAACTTGGAACCCTTAAAGAGTCGAAATTGTGGAAAACCTTCCTGGAACTTGTGGCTTGGACACAGAAAAACCTTTAGAGCTGGAGTGCATATGACCAATAATCTGACAAGAACTGCTACAATTAGTCCTCTCTAGCTGTCTTCTCTCTCCCTATCCATGCGAGTGTTTGCTGACACCTGGCACACAGTGATCTGTTTGTTTGGTTGGCTTCTGTACTAATTTTATGGTTCTGATGCAACAGGGTCTTTGTGACAAACCTATTTACAGCATCTTTCTACCAATGAGGGATATTCCAACATGGTTCGGCCATCAGAATGAAGGAGACGCATTATCCTTGCAAGTTCCTGCACTTGATCGTGATTGTAAAATAACAGGATTTTTATATCGGCAGTTTATGCATGGAAAGATTTCTTTGAATCGTGCTATCCATGCCCTACTATTACAGTTATTAACAGAACAAAAAATCTCCACTGGATGTATGAGAATCAAATAGAAGGCATTGATGAAGAAGATATGAACTGGAGATTTCGGGATGAGATGGAAGAAGGGGATCAACTGGATGTCCGGATTGACATGGATTATGGAATTATTGCAAAAAGGTGTGGCATCTACTTGCTTTACCATCACAATGACCTGCAAATGATACACGGGCTGCCATTGCACATACATGCTTTTCAAGACACCAGAGCAGGTTTCTGACATCAAATCCTCAGTGGTTAACGTTCAACCGCAACTACCATGAAGTAACACCGCTTCAAATGTGGTATGCTGAAAAACGTTTCAAGATGAAAAGCATTGATGCAATGGGTGTAACAGATTATACAAGTTCATTACATGATGTTGAAATTTTAGTTTCCTTTCCGTTGCGAAACAGTTCGTTACTTGCCTGAAATAAAATAGCATTATATCCAGTATCCTCGTAGACTTTAATTTTTTCCCGAGTCTCCACAGATTTCAGCATAATTTCAATTGGGTTTCTCTATTTGCTTGGCAGAGGATCAAGTAAAAGGGAGCAAAGGGTGAAAGAGATTCCAACTGTCAATTGTAAGAAATAGATTTTGTAACTGTTGCGCTACGTGGTGTTGCACTAGAGAGGTGAAGGTATAACGCATGTTGTAAGTAGATCCAAGATTAACCTATTTTGCCTTTTTCTGATCTTGGTCCAAGGCAGACCTGTTCTCTTCCTGGAATAAAAAGAGAGAGTAGTTTGTGCTTTGCCTTTAAAGAGAAGCAAATCTCATTTATTTTCCAGTTTTTGCAGACAAAAATTTATGTTGTTGAGTTCGTGAACTGCTTGTCTTGTTTTATTATGCTAGTTCCACAATTGCTTCTTTACTCATCTGGAGGTGTTTTGCAGTTGCAATCTTCTTCCAGTTTCTCCTTGCTTCCTCATCGAAGCCATCCTGTGTCTGCAATCTATGTTCCACGTTTTTACTTTTAATCCTCTGACAGCAAAAACCTGAGGTTATCTACCTTGCACAAACATCAGTATCAACACCAAAAAAGTTCGAAGGTAGAAAGAGATGCATTCCACGGAGCAATGCAAATTTAATTTATGAATGTTCCGTAAGAAGTTCGAACATCAGACTGATCAGAGTGGGTAGAACTTAATAAGTTTCCACCAGGAACTCCAGACTCCAGACTCCACCAGGAACTTTCCTCTTCTTTTCTCGAGCCATTATTTGGGTGTTCAGTTGTATTATATTTTTCTCTGCTTTTCACGTCCTCTAACTGAGAACTCATATCGCATCCCTTGGGTTTTATCTAGCGATTCTTAACACTATAACCTAATTTCAAGCAGTCAGAACTAACATCAACAATAACTACAATTTAGAGGTAAGAATCCAAATCAAGCATATTAAAATTCAACATGGAAACCTAAGGCAGACAATGCTTTCTTATATCACCCCACCCTCCAAAGGGTGTTTACCCTTGGAACACTGAACAAGTTCACATTGTGAAACTGCTATCCGCAGAAAGTGCCTTAACAAGTTGGATATAATCAAACAAAACGAAGTATTCCCGTAAAGATTGTACAGGAGTTTTTGCTGGGTAGGATAAGATGCGACACCCAACTTCTAAACCCACACCGCCTGTTGTGTCCCTCCATACATTGAATTTGTACGGCTTAAGTTGGGAATTCCAGGACTTGAGCTTGCCTGTTAAAATCAGTAGACAATTACCATATCACGCAATAGTATAATTTCGTAAAGTGGACTAAGCAATGCTCGAAAGTCTAATACTGTCACCCTGACATTAAGCATCCCATTCCGAGTGAAAGCTTGGCATCTCTAGAACAGTTCGTACTTAAACCAAGTAGATGCTGAAAATATTGTGACAGAAAAAACATCATAATATTTGATATACTGCAATAGATGATGTTTCAACTACAACAATAAAGAAAAACAAAATACACTCAAAATCCCTTAAAAGGCTCCAGGAAAATCCAAAAGGATCAAATCCATTATGACTTTTAGTTAGCCTTGACATGCTGTTGAACGACATTAAGAGCTTCACTGTCCTCCCCAAAATCCTGCAAATAAGTCAGGCAAAAGAATAAGTTGAACCGCTTTTGAAAGATAAATCAGTTAAATGAAAGGAAAGGCAGTGCTTCAAAACTGATTTTTACTACCTTCACAACAACGCAAGAGCAACCAACTACTTTCCTGGCCTTCCCCTCTGAATCAATCTTACACAACTGGAAACCAAGAGCCCATGTTAGATAAAATCAGTAACCACTAAACAAGAAAAAGAATAATATCAAATTTTCACAAAAGCAAGCAGAATGACCCATCAAACCAATTAACATCAGTTACATGTCTAACACTGACAAACCATGGCACAGTTCTTAAGAGCTAAAAAATAAGGCGATCTAGAATTTGGAAACCAATATCAGAACCAAAAAGAGAAAAAGCTTCAAGTATTAAAGAACATTCTAAGAAGCAATACCATATTAATGAGTTCACTGGATTAAAATTAAACAACCCAACAGAGCAAATTACTTTACTTTAGAGCTCCAAATGAAGCTGGTTGAATAAACATAAGAGAGCACACAAAAGAGATTGCATAATCCATCTTTATTCCAAATTTTACATGCGCAAGAACATTTAATATCAGATGATAATCACACATTCCATCGATGTTTCCCTTTCCTAGCTTTTAAACCCTCTTCGTGAAAAATTATATACTGCATCGCTAACGTTACAATATACTGTTTTCTACTCAAGTTGAAATCTTACTACAGTGATCAAAACTTCACACTAACAACAGAAATCACAATACATAGTCTACAGAAATACGAATTAAAACAAAACAGGAGTAAAGATAAAAAAACAAAGCAGACGAAATACTCACACCAGCCCACTCTCCAAGAGTCTTTGCACTTGGAACAGTTAACAAGTTCACGTTGTGGTCAGCACAAAGTGCCTTAACAAGTTTGATATAGTCAGGCTGATTACAATCGTCTGCCAAGACACAGAGTTGAGCAGCATGCTTCTCAATCACTTTGGCCCCTTCATGAAGACCTCGAGAAAGCCCACCATGAGCCAGAGATTTCCTCAGCACAAGCTGCAATGCTGTCATCAAGTCCATTGGCTCCCCAAGAGGAGGTGCATCACCAACAGCAGGAATCTCAGCCTGAGGAACAGCAACTTCTTCACTGAAAATAAATGCAATAGATAGACAAATAGATATTCAGATTCTGTAAAGACCTTTTTATGCCAGATTATTAAAACCCTTTATGTCACTGAATTTTCTTTCAAGAAAATCAAATAGAGAAAAAAAAAAAAGCATACCCTGACATTATGATTCTTCTTGAATCTGGACGCAAAAATTAATCTTAAACTGTACAAGAAAAATAAAGAAATTCAGATCCAAAAATAATAAAAAACATGTCCTGATATTATACAAGATAGAGAGGTAGTGAGTGAGAGAGAGACAGAGAGCTACCTAGCCGCCGAGATGCAAAGGTGGCTCTGGGAGATTTAGCGAAGCAAATGAGAGTAGCAGAGAGAGCAAAAATGCGATTTTATATTAAGGCGTTAAACCCTACTTCTCGTTTTGAATTACAACTTTGTCCCTTTCTCTGGGCTTTTTGTTATTAACGTGGACTGGGCTTATAGTTCGAATTGGATTTTGTTAATTGGAATTGAAAGGGATTATACTTTTATCCTTCAATATATATATATATATTGAATTCACATAAGGGAGTCGTGTAATAAACAGTACCTATTCGATCTTGAGCTGATGCTTTTTGTAAATTCATGGATGCTGTGTGTATTTAGGATGAAAATTTTTTTTAAAATAAATGAATAATTTAAGGAGAAAGCTCCTTATCACAAAATTAAAAAAAAAATGATAGTTGTACATATTATCAATTAAGGAAGAAATTGACGAAAGTATTTAATTAATAATTTAAAAAATTAATATATTTAATTTAAAAAAATTAAAGTTTATATACTCTATTGAGAAAAAATTAAAAAATTATAATTTAATATTTTAAAAATAACGATTAACAAAAAAATTGATAAAAGCACGTGACATTTTTAAAAATATATATGTGTGAACTTAAACCAAAAAAAATTAAAATTTATATTATTGATTAATGTTGAAAGTTGGATATATGTATATGTATATCTCTGTGTGTGTGTGTGTGTGTGTTATTTTTTTTTCCTTCCCATTCCCACTCATGGCCCATGTCAGAGAACGCTCGTAGCCTATGATCGCGGCCCATCGTACTGCCTTGGGGCCTGGTTGACTTTTGTTTCTTCCTTCTTTTTGAATTTTGTAATAATTGATTATTTATTTAACGGTAATACTTTAATAGATTTATTCTCCTTTTAAAATCTTCAACAAGTGATGAAATATAGCCAAGAGTTTTGTTAGTGAAATAGCCCTAGAGCTAAAAAAATGGGAGCAATCAGATAGACAAGTTGAAATATACGGACAGAGAAATTTGAATTAAATCATACTAAATTGTTTTCATGTTATTACATATTGAAAAATACCATTGAATTATGCTATGGACCGATTGTTTTTCAAGAAAAAAGCTTTAATAAAAATTTTCCATTTTCCAGTAATTTGCAACAAATTACAACTGATCATCGCACGCGTTAGAAGGAGGGGAGGAGGAGGAGGAGGAGGAGGAGATAAAAAAATTACATCACGATTTTCTGCTCTCATTAAGTAATCTCAAACTCAACAAATTAAAGTAATTAAAATTCGAATAGTAGTTAAATAAAAACCCAAAAAGCAAAATTAGAATTAATCTATCTGCCCCTTGGTAAATCTCTCTCCGCAGAGTCCATCTCTTCAAGAATTCTGGCCTTTCTCTTGGATGGAATGGGAGCTGTCGGTCCAAAGCTGATGTAATGCCCCGACACAGCATTCAAAGCCGAATACATATCACGATAAGAAGCCCGACCGATTAAAGCTTTCTCTCTTCTATACTTCGCCACCCAAGAGTTTGAAGTTTCTCTAAGAACAGCAACTGCTTCAGCTACATTAGGATCGCTCCTGTCCATGGATATGGTGGTTCTGACCTTTTTGATCACCTCTTCAGTATCTTTCACGTACTCTTCATCCGATGCTGCAAAAGCTGGAGCGATTGGGGGGACCAATGGAGAAGTCAGAATGGCGGTGGCCAAGGACAGGAAGTGGCGGCGGAGGTGGTGGTTTTGAGGTTGTTGCAGTGGTGGTGGTGGCGGTGGAAGTGCTGTGGTGGAGTTGGGTTTGGGTTTGATGGGGTAGAGAGGTTTGAGTTTGGATGTTGGGGTTAGGAGAGTTGATGAAGCCATTGGTTTTTGTTGGAAGAGAGGGAAGAGGAGCAGAGTGAGTCTGTTTTCTACATAGGAGTTGTGAGCAGGGGACTGGGTTTTTGCCACGTAGGCTTATCACCTTATCCTTATTCTCGGTTCTATGGATGAGACCATACCCAATCATACTGTATGAGTAAGTCAAACAATGCAAAGTGCAAGTACTTGTGAAAAAAAAAATTGTCTTAAAAAAAACATAAGAGAAAAGAAATGAATAATATGCCAGCGTAAGAAATATTTGTTGTTGCCACTAGTTACCACAATTTGTCAAGTTAATCGAATCAGATTATTATTATTATTATTATTATTATTATTATATATTTTGGTCAATTCACATCGGCTTTAAACTGACCTTTTCAAATTCAATCGAAGGTGTATAAAATAAAGGGATAAATTGGGACTTTGACGCGTTTTGTTTGGAGATGGTAGAAGCAACTCCTTTGTCCATAGCCTTCAATGGCCCTCCTATAGTCCTATGGACACTTATCCTCCGTTCCATTTCTTTATTATATTTCAAATAGTTGCTGATAATAGTTTAAATTTATCTACGTTCATTCTGTCTCCGTACTAATTGTGTTTTGGGTCTTCATATTTTATAACCATGTATTGAGTCTTCATAAATCCTATGTAATTAGGTTGGTACTCCAGGTCATTCAAAAAAAAAAATCAAAAGATGAAACATCACCACTGAAACTAGATTAGAGGATTCATTTTTTGAGTCGTATATCAATTAGACCATAGTTAATTTGTTATTAGCTATGTAAAACTTCTTCTTTTCTCCACCAGTACGAGGAATTCATTGGTACTGGGGCTGGCTCTGTTACGGTGTGGCTTTGTCGCTTTTTTTCTTTTCACCTGAAAAAAGGGAAATGGAAAACTACTAGACAGGAGTACTAGCTAAAGCCCCGTCGGCCCAGATTATAAACATCAGCTTCCAAACCAAAATGGCCCAAAAGGAAATTACAAAACAAACTAAATCAAGTGGTGATTTTTCTAGTTAAATTGTTCATTCTTATCCAATTGTAACGTAAATTGAGCTGTTTTTTTTTTTTTTTTTTTTGCCTCTGTGCTACGAACTCCTTTTTTTTTTTTTTTTGCTTTTAATTACTATCACTATCACTATGTGGATTTGTGAAAATCCACAATTGTCTTTGACTAATTTTCTTCTTTAACATTTTTTTTTATTTCACTATTTTTTTCACTCTGCATTATAAATAGCTTTGTCTTTTACTCTTAATTACACGTATTATCATTTAGTGAATTTATGCAAATCCATACTTATCCTTAACTGATTCTTTTTTTATTTCTCTTTTAGCTTTTTTTCGTCAATTCACTTTTTTTGTTTTTTTGACAGAGCATTTAACGCTACCGTTATTGTCTTTTTTCTTCCTTGTTTCGTAGGAGAGAAGTAAATTGCTATTCAAGAGTAAATTATAAATTAGTCCCTCTTTCTTAAGGAGACAAATTAATTAGTCCACCTAATTTCAAAAACTAATGTTTTTATCCTTTTTGCTATTTTGCTATTTTTCTTTTACTTTTTGTTTTAAGAAATAGAAAAGAAAAAAAGATTAAAATATAAAAAATTAAATTAGTCATGGTCAGATCTTGGTTAAAAAAGATTAAATAATTATTTTTTGAAATAAAAAGGACTAATTAATTCATTTTTAAAAGCAAGAAAAACTAATTTATAATTTATATATCGCCATTTTCACATCTACTACATGAAAACGAGTACAATTAATATATAATTTGCAACAACAACAAGATTTTTGCAGCTAATGAATATATCGATAATCGGTTAATGGTTTTATATTTTGTTGGATTGCAAAAAAAATATACATGTATAATAACCGAAGCGATGACCCATTTAATTTGTATTGTTGTTGTATGGATGAGGAATTCTTGAGTAATTGTGCCTCCGATTGAACTATATGAATGAACATCTAGTTTGCATTATAATTAATTATTGATTGTGTTTAGTTTATAATTAATTTTTTCATTTTTTACAATGATTGTAAATTCAATATGTCTTAATAATATTTTTTTCTTCTACTCTTTCAACTTTTAGCTATTAATTTTTAAATTCAATTATTGACTACCTAATAAATGATTGCGAGCTTTATTAATTAAAACACTAAAAAGAGAATACTAATTCACAAAACCCAATTGCATGGTCACTCGTCACTAAATTCTATTATTTTTTTTCACTATTTTATCGATATTTTTGCACTTTAATCTCTCGTTTTTTTAGTAAAAAAAAATTTGATCCCAAACTTTATTTGTATTGTCATATGATCCCCGAATGCTTATAAGAGACAAAAGAGAGGAGAGAGAAAGAGAGAAGCGAGGGTCATTCCCATCACATCCATTGTCGATATTATCATTAATCCGTCCGTCTTGAAGAATACAATCGTCAGTGGTGATTACGAGTTATGAAATGGTTTGAAGATATAGATCGTAATCCAAAAATATTTTAAACTTTTTGAGTTTGATTTGAATTTTTATATGTTTTACGTGCATTAAAATGAATTTTGAGACTTTAAAGTGGTTTTTTAACATTATTTTTGTGATTTTAAGTTATTTTTGTTAAAAATAGCATTGAATTTAGCTTTGGGGAAGCCAAAAACCAAAAACACGTTTTTTCGACAATATTTTCGTTGAACACTAACTTGTTAGAAATTATTGTGTTTTTTTTAAAAAAATCCTTCTTGACAAGGCTTGCTCCTCCATGCCTAGGCGTGCGAGCTTGGTTCTTAGCTCGGGCATCTTTTTTTTTCTAAATATTTTTAGGTGAATATTCTAGAATATCAAACTTTATTTTTTTTCTTGCAAAATCCGACGAGAAAAAAAAATGATATATTTTTATATTTTAAAATAAATATATATTTTAAAATATATTATTTTTATCATTTAAAATTATATTTATTCAATTTGTCATTTTCATATAAATTGTTATCCAATTAATTTTTATTTTAAAATTTTATTTTATTTAAATATTATTTATTATTCTCTATCTATGGATTTTTAAATAAAATTTTAAAATGTGATTATTTTATTGAAAAAAAAACAAGTGTATATAATTTATATGAACTCTTAAAAATTTTAAATGATAATAGCATATATATATTAAAAAAATATATACAGAATTTGTATTAGATTTTTTGAAAAAATAATTTATAAGATAAATTTTTAGTTAAAAATTCATGGAGTTTTAGATTTTCTTTTTAGATTATTACAGGTTTTTAGATAAGAATAAAATAAATAAGAATAAATATTTTTTTATAAAAAAATTATGAAAAAATATAATAAATAATTAATTAAACATAAAATTTTAATAAAAATAATAAAATTCAATAGAGTTTTTTAATCAATGTTTCAACATATTTTAATTGATTAATAGTATAGCATAAATATTACAAGAAAACAAGAAAACTAAAAGATTTGAGAAATTTCAACAGTGATTGACTATTCATTCTCTTACTTTTGGGGCCTTTTTCTGAGTTTAATTCAATTGCTCAAACAACGCCCTTTGATTATCTGTTTAATTGCTTTTTTGCCACTCGATCCTGGTGGCAGCTGACGTTTGTGTCCCCATCTGTGAGTTTCTCTTCGCTTATTCAATGCCCCCTTTCGTCATTTCTTCATGTTTTTGGGGAGCATTTAATGCTCCACAGCCATTTTGCTGTGCCGTGATTTCTTTCCCAGATTTTTTTCTGCCATGCTTTAACTTCTTTTCTAACGGTAGCTTGGTTCTTCTAACACCTCTGGGGCCCTTTTAATTTCCTGTTCTTCCGTCCCATTTGGTTGGGTTTTGTTGGTTATAATTCTATAGGGGATTTTAGTGCCTAGGGATTGCTTGCCTGGTTGCTTGCTATGTTGCATTGATTCCAACTGGAAGCCATTAGTCTCGGTTCTTTTCATTTTCCACTTGGCACAATCTTGATGTTCATTTCTAGATTTAAAAAATCAAATATGTTTCTCATCGCTTTTTCTTTTCTATTCTATCCAAACCAGGCTATTAATGTACACAAATAAATCATGAATCTGCTGTAAATTCAATTTATATTATCATGAGGATGGTCGGTGCCCCGTATTTAATTCATATTTTAATCTAGAGAAGTATTAAAAATAAAGAATAATTTTTTTAATGAGTTCATGGTCAAACATGATCAGGGGATTATCTTATGATTTTAGAAACTAGAGAGATTTAACTTATGATTTATTAAAAATACTAAAACTAAAGTTATAATTAATGAAAGTTTTGGTAAAGCTATAAGGTAAGTTATATGGGGATACGTGGAGAAAACTGATAAATAATAAAGTCAGTTATGGATTAATCAGTGTTTTTTTTTTTAATTTTGTAAGTTATTCGTTTGCTTTCAAAATTTTAAGTTTTTCTCTTGATTAAAGTTGAATGCTAATTCTTTTTGAACTGTCTATAATTAACTGTGTTTTAATTTTTATCTATGTCAAACATGATTGGAAATATTATTTAGAAATGAGGGATAGTTGAAGAAAGAAAACAATTAAATTATCATGAAAAAAACAATAGAAAGACCGAGTTACCAAGAAATTTAAAAATATAGGGACTTGGCATTATTTTTTTAAATAAAAAAGGATTAAATAATTATTTTACTAAAAACACACCGATCAATTATAAAAAACGCACACACATTCGTATGTATAAACGAGTTAGAAATATATTTCGGATACTTTCTCTTGAATTAAAAAAATAAATGTTCAATTAAAAAATAGATTTTACAAGTGTTATTTGATTTTTCTTTATGTAATGAGAATTTATCGAAATCAATTTTATAATAACTTTTATCTCGGTTTATTGACTTTTTATTACAATTTATTGACTTCAAATTTATTTAATGTGTATGTGTGTGTATATATATATACTATACTATACATTCTAAAACTATTAAGTACGAGTCATGATGTGTATATATATATATATTTAATTATTAGTTTTATTAAAAATTAATTATGCATTTACACACATAAAACCAACCATTTGCTATTTTTGTTTCTTTTGGATATTTTAAATTTAGTTTCGTTGAGATAAAATAATCAAGATAATATTTTAAAAGAACCACCTAATAATTTAAATTCATTTTTTAATACTATATTATTAATTATTTTGTGATTTAATATATATAAATTAAATATCCGTGCTTTAAAAAAAAATCTTATCATGAGCTTTAAATAAGAATAAAAATTTATATTTATATTTATTAATTTTTAAATAAGTTTTTATATTAATTATTTTTTTTAACTACAACCTTATGGAAAAGATATTAAGATTTTTTTAAAAAATCTTAGATTCTGTTTTTTATTGAGATTATTGCAGGTTTTTATTTAATAATCAATATATACAGAATAACAAATCATTTTTTTTCAATTACAAATTTATGAAAAACATAAGAAATAATCAATTAAATATAAGATTTTTATTTAAATTTTAATAGATTTTATTTTTTTAAAAAAATTATTTTTGATTGCTACATTTTAATAAATTTATAATATAATATGATATATATCAAATTGAAATAATTTAATTTTACTAGATCCAAAGCGTATCGCGAGTATCAAATTAGTTTAACCTAAAATAATTTTACACATTTCGTAGGACTGTAGCACCGGTGAAAGCGCAGTCCTTCACTAAACAGAGTCGAGAAACAATTCATTGGTTCAGCCCAGGTCATCCCGCAACTCTATCCAAGCCTTATCTGTTATTAAACAAAGTCCTTTTCCTAGAAAGGATAAAATATAGAAAAAGCCAACGGAAAAATACGTAATACCTGTTGTTTTGGTCATCGTACAGGTACCTAATCCAATCCTATCTCCTTCCAAAACAGATCATCTGTATATTATTCACCTCTAGCTACTTTAAGAAACATCGGTAGACACAGAATTAGAAACATGGTAAAAGAAGGAAGAGAACAACAGGCTGGAGTTCCTGTAATAATAGCAATGAAAGGGCATCCTGGCACAGGCAAGAGCACTTTAGCCAACTCTTTAGCTTCATCTCTCAAAATCCCTCTCATAGACAAAGATGATGTCCGTGACTGCACCTTCTCCATCCAAAACTCCTCGCCGATGCTAACCTCACCCGACGCTACAGCATCCAAACTCCTCAACGACCTCTCTTACGACGTCATCTGGCAAATCGCCTCCACTCAGCTCCGTTTAGGTCTCAGCGTCATCATCGATTCTCCGCTCTCTCGGAGGGCCCACCTTGATAAACTGATCCAACTGGCATCATCTACTGGGTCCCTCCTCGTGATTGTGGAGTGCAAGCCGTTGGATGAGGGAGTCTGGCGGAGAAGGCTAGAGCAACGTGGCAAGGGCGATCAAGCTAGCTGGCATAAGCCTTCCACGTGGCAAGATCTTGAGAGGCTAGTTGAAGGGTATGGTGGGTCCACTGACTATGATGTTGGTGAGGTGCCAAAGGTAGTGTTGGATACCTCGGCTCCTGTTGGGGTTGATGAGCTTGTTTCTGGAGTGGCGGATTTCATTGTCTCTCGTGTTCGTATTTCTTCTACTTTTACAGAATATTATCACAGCTAGAATTATTATTATTATGTTTATAAAATTCAAACTATCATGTCTGTAGTGTATATAAACTTTCTACATGAATTTGGATTGCTCGTTTTGCTTTTTTATTTGTCACTTGTGATTAGTAGATGTTCAAAAAAACAATAGAACATGATCTGAACATAACACATATATGTGCTATGAAAGAACAACATCAACAAAATACTATGCTGAGTGATATCAGACTCATGGGTAATTTATTTTCTCAATATCTCAAGCCACAAATGGGACAAACTTATCAAAAGACGTGAAATCTAAAGTATTTATATATGAATAATTTATTGATTGTTGAGTGATTTGAAAATATGTCTTAGATTTTCACTCGTGAGTTTAAATTTTGAAAAACTTTTCGTTAAAAAGTTACATATTAGAGTAAATATAAAATCACGACGGGGTTTGGTTAACGATATGGGATGAAAAAGTAGAATTTAAGACCTTTTTGTCTTTGGTTTGTCTTGACCTCCCCAGCTTCCTTTGTGATTTCGGAAGAGGCTACTAACATATCCTCTCTTTCCTATTACCACAGCATTTACAATTTTTGTATGTTAAAATAATTAAATTGTCCTGGCACCTAAAAAGGTAATTTAGGAGTGTTTTTTTTGATTTACTGAAGGAGTGTTTTTTTTTTAAAAAAAAAGATAACGATTAAAACGACAATGGGACCCGTCATTTATATTATTTTTATTACTTCTTTTCTAAACCATGAAAGCTGGCACCACATCGTACCGTTAAGATTACCATAGCCTTTTCTTTTGGATCAGAGATCATTGGAATATTTCAATCAAAATACGATTACAGCCCACTAAATATCTCAGTCGGGTTTATATTATTATTATTTTTTAACTTAATGATTACAACGACAATAGGACCCGTCATTTATATTATTTTTATTACTTCTTTTCCAAATTCCAAACCATGAAACCTAACCCCCACCATCATACCATTAAGATCAACATAGCCTTATGTTTTTGGACCAGAGATCATTGGAAAAAATCAATCAACTACGATAACAACCCACTAAATATTATCTCAATCAGATTTTTATGGAAAGCTTGAATTGGAAAAGGAAATTCTGATTATGAAATCGTAACACCGTCTGAAACAATTAAAATCTTAAAATCACAAATCGCTATTTAAGAAAACCTAAATTTAAATACCAATCACAAGCATCATCACTTAAATCCAACCTAGACGATACATCCTGACATCCACCACTGTGACAATTACTGTGGCGCATTATTTTGGACGCACCAAAGGAAAATAAGAGAGAGAATGAAGATGCTGAAGGATTTTGAGGCGATAATTATCTTCTATTTGTCTACTTTTTCATGAGAAGTTTGTCTTAACTTTGTAAATGGATGGAGACACAAAGAAAGGGATGGGTCAAGGGGAGCACTGACGAGGTCGCTTGACCTTCAAAGATTGTGTGGTTATTTTACAACTGTTGTTAAAATGATGGTATTTGCTTATTAGTGGTAGAATATCTACAAAATAAAATTTTCTAATTGCGACAGGGAATCTTAAAAAATCAAGTCACTGTGAAAACAAAAAGGGTTAGCATAATAAAATTGTGATGTAAATACAAAAAAAAAAAAAAAAATTATGATGAATGGTAGCATCAAGCGAAAAGATTCAGAACTTCTAGCCTCTAGTTTCTTAGTTTATAAAATCAATATACTCGTCGAGTTACAAAAAAAAAAAAAAAAAAATACTAGTAAAATTGTTAATTTTTTTGCTATCAACGATCTCAAATATAAGTTAAAAATAAATGTTTTTAATATTGATAAATCATTATTAAACAAAAATGATGGCGTTCAGTATGGCTTAGATAAAAATAATTTTAAATCATTATTTTGTCATTTTGGTAGGGGTTGGTTTAAGCCATGACCGGACAAATTCCTCTCTTAAAATATCTTTTTCATAGTGCCAATGCACACGCCCGTCCATAGTCTCAAAGTAGTTTTCACCTGCTGAGTTTCTATTTTCGTATGCCACAAAAGAAATGAAGCATTTGTGTGTCCATGTCTACATCATAGTAAAAGTTTATAAAATTTTTGAGTTATACACGTGTCATCAGAATATATCAAGTATCGTATAGACAACTCTTGACCTAGGCTGTGGTGCTGGTAGTCGTGGGTAGATAGAGAGGGAGAGTGTAAAAAAAAAAAAAAAAAAACAAAAGAAATAAAATTGTTTTATAATTGATGAAAGTGTTCATTTTATATTTGATGGAGTTATCTCGTACTCATCCATGAACACTTCAGATATTTTTTATTAAAATATTTTATTTTTAATTTCAGACATATTGTTCAATATGAAACTTACTATGGCACCCGTCCAATTTTTCGTAGAATACTCTTGCTTTTAACATGCCATATGAGATGCATATTTAATAAAGTATCTGATTTAATAAATGTGTAAGAATAAATGTTTTAATCAAACGAAAAATAAGAAAGAACTTAAATAAAAATTCGAATTATACAGAATTTAAATATAAGGTAAATTCTATATTTAATATTAAAATAACTGCTTAAGTTTTGAAGTTTGAAGGTGATTTCGGTATTCAACATGAGGAAATATGGAAAGTCATGCCCGATAGAGAAAAGGAGCGTGCCCAATGGCACCTTCCGGTAATTTCACTTTCTAGAACTCTTCATTTTCCTTACTTCTTAATCTTAAAAGGAATGCAAGTCCTTTGTTTAACTCAGAGAATCTCGTTTCCCAGATGCCAAGAAAATAATATTTAGTATTGTGACAAATATGCCCTTATGATTTACAATATATTTCATAAATATGCGAAAGTTAATTTATTATGTTATCAAATGGTTTTATTTTGTAATTGGTGTGTAGATAACGAGGAGGAGTCCTCTTTATCCATTGTAAAGTGGCGAAACAGGTTTGGTTCTTCTTTACAAGTAAAGCTAATAAATCGCATAATTACGCCTCGACTTCAGCACTTTTCAAGTTATGGATGTGTTCTTTACACTCTCAAGTTGGCGCGGATCAAATTGCTATCTGTTTTTTGACTAATGACAAATCTAGAAGAATAGACGTAAAGTTAGATTTGAAGGTGGAGGGATGTTCGTGAACATCGTTATTAAACAGGTTATGCTTCGATTGATTGAGAAGCTTTTAGTCTACGCTCCGAAAAAGAAACCCAAGCTCAGTGATTCTCAATGGCTTATTCCCATTATTTCTATTAAATTGAGACGTGAGATATGGCTCAAACGGAACCCTCCATTTAAGGAGAACTAAACACAAATAGATATGTAGTTGAAGGACTTTGTAACGGCGGATGAGTTAACAGGGAGTGTCCTGGTCAATTCATTGCGATTTTTTTTTCTAATTTTTATGGCAAAAGAACTAGCATGAGAGGAGAGATAAATACCCTGAGGAACGTAATTCAACTATGTCGATAACTTTTTCTACAACAGGTGATTGGGAATCAGACTCTCAGATTGCAGGGGGTGCATTGAATAGAAAGATTAAACCAGCTTGGAAGTATATTCATCGAATTCGCCAATACCATAAGGTACAAAATTGTTTTATGTTCAAGCATGTTATTCCTAAGCAAAATACAATTACTGATAGATTAGCTAATTTAGCTCATTGTCATAAAATGTTTTGTATTTTCCATAGATACGAGGACCTTTCTCGATAGATCGGTAATGTCTTAAGTTATGATAGTTTTGATATCTGTATATATAGATCATAATTTTGTAGTGTTGTTCTACAATCTTTAGAGTTAGGCTTTTTTTCCCCTCCTATAAAAACTATTCATTTTATACATTATACTATTATATATATTGTTTTTTAATATTATGATCGGTTAAAGGATATAAATTTATATAAAATAATATTTTCAGAGATCCCTTTAAAAGTTTGTACTAAAAAGCAATATAGTAACGAACTTACTTATCATAGAGCGATGGATAGATGAATATATAAATAGGTTAACAGTGTTTGAAAATCACTTTGGAATATGGATAATTGTCTGTGAAGACAAACACGCTACTCGTGTAGTGAGCTTTGTATGATACGCGACCGGAATTGGATACTTGTAACGCCCGCCCTTATCCTTAACATTCCTCTAGAAGGATTCGTTGTATGATTGCAAATGTTATTTGTAGCTTCAGGATTATCTAGGAAAAGAAAATTATAACCAGAGGATTAGTTCTAGAATTTTTTTTAATTATGCAAGTGAAGATAATTGCATTAAATATTATTAGTACTGGAAATTATGCTACTTTATTAACTATGTGATTTTTTTTATTCGACGAAGTTTTTTAATTAATTTATACGTTAAATGAGATTAATTTTTGTACGATAATTTATAAAAAAATAAAATAAAAAAAGCAAAGGAAGCAAGGAATTTTATTGGCGGGGCACCGTGAAGTATTTTCCTTAGCAGCCTCTTTGCGTTGCCGGGGAAGCCACCCAAAAAAGACAAATCATTATTGCGAGTCAACTGTCGTACATTTGTTCTTTTTCTGGTCTGTGCGTATAGCTTCCAAAACTTGGGTTTCATGAAGCCTGTGATTTCACATTTGTTCGTAATCGACCCAATAACAGCAATCTTCTCTAAACTCGCCTCTTAAGTATATTTCTTTGCCCGAAATTTACTCAATACCCTGCCAACTAAATTCAAGTCAACTATAAGGTCTCCGGTAACCTCTGTTATCCACAGTTCTTCATCGCTTTTCAAATAAATCAAGTTTGTCTTCTTTACCAGTAATCTTTTTGCTCTTTGTTTCTCCTTCTAGTTCCTGCTCTCTTAGGGTTTGCCTTCATCTGGGTTTAGCTTCTTTTAAATGTTTATCCCTTTGTTTTGCAAGTTTTCCGGTGAAGTGAGTTTGTGTAATTAGTTTCCTTGGTCGCTATCCTGTTTTGTTTTTTTTTTTCCAGCTCTTGATCATATCTGTTCTGTTTTGTTACTTTGAGGTTTCTTTGAATACAACTCTTTTTTTTTTTTTTTTTTTTTGAAAAAAAAAATCCCTGATTTATGATTTCTGTCTGACTAAAGGCTATCTATTCATGGTTATCACAGTGAACAGTATTATTGTGTGGCCATTCCTTCGAATTTGACACTTCTCATACTGTCAATTCCATGTTTCTTGATAAATTAAGTGCTTGCTGGGCTTAACTAGGGACATTTGGATCCAAAATAATGGAAAATGCCAATGAAATTACATCTTCTTTGAGTTTTCCTTCATCTTCTTATTTATCAAATGGGTCTAGTAGCCACCACGTAGCAGCCCCATATGTTCCTGAGCCTGGTGTAAACCTAGAGAACTTGAGCTTAAGCAAGCTTAGTGGTAATCTTGAAAGGTTATTACTTGATGGGGAATATGATTACAGCGATGCAGAAATTGTTGTTGAGGGTATCCCTGTAGGTGTCCATCGGTGTATATTAGCTGCTCGTAGTCAGTTCTTTCATGAGCTTTTTAAGAAGGGAAATGATAATTCGACAAGTGGAGATAAACCCAGGTACCTCATGTCTGATTTGGTGCCTTATGGTGGGGTTGGATATGAAGCTTTTAATGTTTTCTTACATTATTTGTACACCGGAAAGCTTAAGCCATCTCCGCCAGAAGTGTCACAGTGTGTTGAGGATGTTTGTGCCCACGATGCTTGCCGCCCTGCTATTAATTATGCAGTGGAATTGATGTATGCCTCTGCCACTTTTCAGATGAAAGAGCTTGTTTTGCTTTTCCAGGTAAGCTGTGATTCCATTTGTTGTTATAAAAGGCTATTTTTCATGGATAAACTATTATTCTTTCCTATGTATTCTAACCCAGTGATTCTTAAATGGAGAATAATTGACAACTCATTGAATTGCTAGATCAAAATGTGTATTTCAGTTGTTTATTGTTCATGGATAGTCAGGATGTTTTTTTTTTTTTTTTTTTTTTTTTAGTATTATCGTTCAACATTAATTTACCCTTGCAGCGGCGTCTCATGAACTTTATTGGCAAGGCTCTTGTTGAAGATGTAATCCCAATTCTCATGGTTGCCTTCCACTGCCAGTTGGACCAGCTCCTCTCTCACTGCATCGAAGAAATTGTAACTTCAGATCTTGATATTGTATGCATCGAGAAAGAGCTCCCCTATGATGTTTCATGTAAAATCAAATTACTTCGCAAAAATTCTCTGCAAGAAGCTGGAAGTAGTGTTGAAGAGGCAGACCCCATGCATGAAAAGAGAATGAGAAGAATCCACAAGGCTTTGGATTCAGACGATGTCGAACTGGTGAAGCTTCTCTTGAGTGAATCTAATTTCACTTTGGATGATGCTTATGCTCTCCATTACGCTGTTTCCTACTGTGATCCTAAGGTTGTCAAAGAAGTTCTTGGTTTAGGCTTGGCTGATCTCAATCTTAAGAACTCCAGAGGATATCCAGTACTTCATGTGGCTGCAAGGCGCAAGGAGCCATCGATCCTTGTGGCACTACTAACTAAGGGTGCCTGTGCATTAGAAACTACAGTGGATGGACAAAATGCAGTTGCAATCTGCCGTAGGTTGACTAGGCCAAAGGATTATAATGAAAACACCAAGCAAGGTCAGGAATCTAACAAAGACAGGATATGCATTGATGTCTTGGAGAGAGAGATGCGAAGGACTTCAATGTCTGCAAACACATCAATATCATCGCCAGTGACAGCTGATGATTTGAACATGAAGCTGGACTACCTGGAAAATAGAGGTGATAAATCCCTTTTTTTTGTATCATCCAAATTCACTTTTTTGCACCACAAATTTGGTTAATAGTACTAGTTACTGTGCTGCATCTTCATGATATCTTGTGACGAAATTCTGCAGCAGCATGCTTTTATTGTTTGTTGAACATTTTTCAGCAAAACCATAGTTTCAGTCTCAATTGTCAAGATTTTTCTAGTTTACTCCTTTTTCATTTGTTTATGCTCTAACATCGTTCAACTTATAATTTTTTCATTCAAGTTACTGCTCAAAGTAGAAGTTCACTTCCAATCAAGAAAGAACACAAACGGGGACTTTGGTAAAGATACCGTGTACAATTGATCTAAAATGGTATCTTCCATTATCATTGGGTGACACAGCTTTTAATGATACTTGTGGTTATCGCTGCTATAACTTAAGTTATACTGAAGGAGTGTAACAAAACAGGAAGTGAAATTCTTGCTATGTGATGTACTAGCCATTGTTTCTGGTTTGTGAAATTATAGGTCAGGGCATGATTGTGGACCTTTAGGAGTTGGACAAACAATAATTTAGCCCCATCCCTGTCTTCTGCAACTTTTTCAAGAAAAATGCACTTGAAATCTTAGATTGCTGTCGTCAAAATAAGTGCTAACTGCTAATCTACTGCGTGGCAGTGGCGTTTGCACGATTGTTGTTTCCTGCTGAGGCCAGGCTAGCTATGGACATTGCAAATGCAGTTTCAACCTCAATGTACACTGGCCTTTCAGCGTCAAAATCAAAAGGCTCAAGTGGGAACTTGAGAGAGGTTGATTTGAATGAGACACCCTCTGTTCAAACCAAAAGACTCCAGTCAAGACTACAAGAACTGCATAAAACAGGTATAACTTTTTGCATTTGTTAGAAACTCCAATTCTTTTTTCCAGTAAATTTTATAGTATGCAACTCCCAGTTTAGAAGTCAAGTTATAAGATTTTCCTTGTGCATTGTTTTCTTATCTTAAATCTTCAGAAGAGAATTTCAGAGAAATCTGTTGCTGATTCTGCCATGTTTACCTGAATTTGTGGATCCGTCTTTCTAGTTAGAGTCTTCAGTTATCACAACTGTTGTGCTGAGGTTCTAAAATTATCCTAAAACAATATATGAGATGAGGTGGCCGAGCTTTGGGTCTAACTAAGCATGGGGCATATTAAAGAGTCAAATATGCTCTCATGAAGATAGCACGAATGTCTATGAAGCTTTTTGGGCAATTTTAGTCTTCATTCCGGGTATATGATGTTGAGCTCAACCTTGAATTATTTTTCTATTTGGCAAAAACCAAATCTCACCTGAAATTTAATCTATTTGAAAATCAGTTTTTGAATTTTAATTTGTGTTTTGAACTTTAGTTTAGGATCATTCTGGATCATTTTTTATTTTTTTATATTTTAATGTTAAAAAATAAACAAATATACTTTTCGATCTTGAAAAATTAAACAATTTTTCTGGAAAATGGATTTGATTTTTTCCGATGTGTGCAAAATTTCATATCAAAATAATAAAAATTGATTTTTTTTTAGAGAGGAGGAATGATAGTTGAAAATTACAAAATTGACTAAATCTCAAAAAAAAAAAAAAAAAGTTTAAAAAGGTTAAAATAAAAATTAAAAATTCATAAATTGTTTTTTAAATGAACTAAAGTTTTGCGAAGGTTGGGCCTTTTTAGCCTTTTTGTGTCCCATTTATTTACTGTGCCAGATTTATTGTACTTGCATATAGACCTGTAATGCGTATGTATTCATGTGTATGCATTATGTACAACTGCGAGAAGGAAATTTTTGATCACTTCATGTCTTATGAGGAACGTTTTCAGAACTTCTTTTTGACACCTGACAAGACATTTGTGAAATCAAAACTTAGGGGGTTACTGATAAAAGCTATTTTAGTGGCAATGATTATGGACTAAATCCTTACAATCCCTCGAGTCGAATACTAAAACCCTAATAATCAAATGCAACTTGCAGCAGATAGGCATAAGCCAGTGTTTGTATAAAGATGGGTTTGCATAATGCATTTGCCGAATTTTCTTGTGGCAGTGGAGATGGGACGGCGCTATTTCCCTCATTGCTCAGAAGTGCTTGATAAGTTTTTGGATGATGATATGCCCGATGCTCTCTTTCTGGATAAGGGTACTCCAGAAGAGCAGAAAACCAAGAAGATGCGCTTCATGGAACTTAAAGAGGATGTACAGATGGCGTTTAACAAGGACATGGAGAAAAATAGATCAGGCATCGCATCATCTTCTTCTTCCTCTTCTTCTCCAAAAAGTGGTGTAACACACAAGGTAAGGAGAAGGTGCTAAAACTTGTGTTACCCTTTTTATTTTTTTCTCTTCCCTTCCAAGGAAGCCCATAAGGTTTATGAGTGTCTTTTCTCAAGATTGCTGGCATGTAAAATAGATGTAGAAGCTATAGATTTTAGAGAGTTGGTTTGACAAGGCTTAATAAGAGAGTCTTTGCTCTTTTGTTGGCCCATTTATCGTACTAATGCATGGCCTAATTAAATAAGACGAGGCACATGCCTGATTGCCCATCACATCTGTTTTTGGTTCAAAACAAAATAAGTATCAACTAAATATTATTTTTAGATCAAAAGCAATTAAAAGCAATTGTGATTTAAAGGCAGGATTACGTATTCCTCGCCATGGCTGTCCATTTGCATTTATTTTTGTTGAATAATAAAGACCTCTTCCCTATAGAGACTAGCCTCCCTCCTTCTGTCCAAAGTGTACTTCGTTTTTTAATTAGCAACATTCGATTTGCTGCTGGAAATCTTTAACGCCAGCATTAATTCACTCTTTTGGCAGCTCAAGCTATTTCCTTCCTATTTACTCTATATGGCAACTTTTGGTTTTTCTGTTTCCAATAAATAATTGCTGGAAATTGTGCTTTACATGGTAAATGGCAGTGACCATTGTTTTTTTTCTCTTTATGGTCAAAGATGCTACTAGTTGGTATCATTAAGAAACGGGCATCCCAAGCAATACAAACCCATTAAAAAAAGTGACTAAAGTTGATCATATATGTTGTATATGGCGAATATCATGCGAGAACCTTTTTCTTTGAAGTTGATTTTGGTTTAGATTAAGTTAGGTGTTGAGCTTGCAAGTCAAGTTGGTGACAACGTGGCGTTGTAATCTTGCTCGTTTGGGTTCTTCTCATGCAGGATTGAGAAATCTTCTATTAGATGACCATATAGTTATTGTTTTTTGCGGGCTAATTATTGTGCATTTACGTTACCAAATAATAATGACAATGTATATGACACTAAAATTAGATTAATTTAGGTCGAACATCAGCTGATGTATGGATTATGGTTAGAGACGGTAATTAAATCCAAATCTTATGGATATTTACACGAACAGTCCCTAGTGGATATTCAAAATTCTTGTTTTCTTAGTAATAAATAAGATACGAATATTTTCAAACTTAGTCTAAGAGCCGTTCTAAAACTTGACGTAAATATGTATATATTAGTATTATATACATATGTGTAAAATATTAAGTTAAAAGGTTTGTTTTCTTTTTTAATTGATGTGTAAACTAGTGTAAAGATATCGTTACCATCGAACCAAAAAAAAAAACAATATATATTATTTGTTTTTTCTTAGTATAATATATACAAGTCCCAATATTACCATTATAATTACATATATGTATAATATTTACAAGTTAATCATATATGTATGTATGTATTTTTTTTTTAATCTTACGTCGAATAATAAATAGTATTCAAATAATGAATATTCCAAACCGATTGATTTGATTGAAATATTAAAATTTCTCGCTTGATAATGACGAATAGAGTATTAATATACCTACAATTCGGCCCATGAGGGTCTATTACCGTCCCTAATTATAGTAGTAGAATTTTTCTGAATTTATTCTTTTTGGCTACAGAACTGGAAGAAAAACAAATTTTTGGTGGAAAATTGATCGCGAACCACTGGACAAGGAAGTCTAGCATGGCCTTCATGATAGCAAATGAAGGTCGCATTTTTATACGGTGCCTTTTCGTTCATATGTTAGACATGTAAATCGAAATCCATCAGATGAGTGGTACTTAGCAACTTCTTGAGTTATTATACCCTAAAAACATGTGGGCAGCAGCCCCCGTCTTAAATTGGCATCGGTAGCCCCTACCCCTGCACAATGACTCGAAACCCCTTTCATGTTCCAAAAGATTGTCAAAGACGGGAAAGAATTCTAGGACCTTCTAGACGATTTTTGAACAAGGACTGTCAAGTTTCTACAGAATTCCCCCTTCACAAAAATAATTTCAATGAATGATTGCGTTTAACAATATATCTTTGAATGTGCGTTAACACGCAAATAAATATCAATTTGTATAATTCAAACCCAAAATATTAATTTTTGAATAAATTTTATCCAAATCTGTTAATTTTAAAGATCAATATGATTAAACGCTAATTTTTTTTTCATGTTATTTTTTTTTTAAAAAATTTCTTTATTTTTCAAAAGAGATTCTTTCTATTTAAAATTTTTACATATTAATCATTTTGATTTTTCATAGTCAATCAAGTTATTATTTGTATATAATTTTTAATTTTTTTTAAATAATTTTTTTGTAGTATCATTATCTATTAAAATAATTAACTTATGTAATTAATAAAATATAAATATCTATTCGTTGAATTTTATCAATTGAAATTATCAAAGAATTAATTTTACATAATTTTTTTTTCATATCGATAAATTTATTTTTGTAATTATCAATCATTAAATTTTAAATATAACCTTATTTATTTAATATTTTTTTATCTTCAAATGTTTTATAGGATTTTTTTTCTCACAATTGATATAGAGTTAGAAAACTATTTTTTTTATAACTTTTCTAACTTTATTTTTAGTTTTTTAAAGATAGGTTAAAAAACTGAAAGCTTTTTTTGAGGAAGAAAAAATAGTGATAAATTTAATGATTTTTTTATTTATATGTAAACGAGTGAAAATTTTTTTAAAAAAATAGAAAAAAACATTTTTAATTTTTTTAATTAACAATAAAAACAATTAACGATCAATTAAGTTGACCATTGTAATTAACGAATGTGAATAAGATTTGTCTAAAAACCAATATTAGAGGTTTGAATTACGTAAATTGATAATAAAAAACTAAAATTATTAAATTATAATAAAACGAGGGCAATTTTTGCCGTAAAACCCTTTTTCATGAGATAGAAATTGTATCTGACTGTTAAACTGATTTCAATATTTTTTTAAGAGGGTTAATTAAATAAAATAAAAAATTACATATCATCTTACATGCATCACGATAATTAAGAATAACCTCTAAAATTCTAAAAAAAATATTCGAAGTTTATCTAAACAGTTGAAATTATATATACTGACACACACGTGGATACCCTCTTCTGTTATATGTTTATTTACATATTATTGGATTTGTAATTTCATTTGTCGTAAATCATAATAATAACAGACTGATTAGGCAAAGGAGGGACTCAGAAATGAAAGAAGGAAGAAAAAGAAAAAAGGAAGGCCAATTCGAAAGCCAATCGAAAACTTGTCAATCAGTGATACTTGACATGTGAAGAGTTAGCGTAACGCCCAAGCGGGGCCAAACCCCAATTGGTCCTTTCCCTCATTTTTCTGCACACGGTATCCTTTCCGCCACTACCACCTCAAATCTTTCTTAAGTTAATTACGAATAACCCTTCGAACCAAAACAAATCTATTACTACTATTAATTAATTGAATACAATCGAAAAACAAAAAATAATAACACCACTAAACTTACTAAGAATTTCACTCTCTTCTCTACCACCCTCTCTCTCTCTGTCGTCACCCGAACGCTCACACATAAAACGGTTTGACAAAAGTTGCCGCAACATCCGGCCATATTTTCCGATTCAGGTAAAAACACCAACAAGAGGGAGGTCTTTCTTCTCGTCTCTTAATATTTACAAACGCCTGTCTTTTCCCCCTTTTTTCTTTATTATTACTCGTATGTCTATTCCTTATTAGTACACTCTGTGACTGTTTTTCCTATTTTTATTTACGAAAATAACAGAACTTCTAGCGGTCTAAAACATGAATTAACTGCGCTTTTTGTGATAAAAGTTTAATATTTTTACGTGCTGTGTTTGGAGTGACGGAGGATTTTTTTTAATTATTATAATTATTTGCAAGTGATCAACGACAAGCAGCAGTAGTAAAAACAATAGGATTAGTCTGTTTTCTTTTTTCCTTAATTGGGCTCAACAAGAATATCCCCTGCTGATATGTAATTAATTAGTTTTTTTGTACTTGTCTGACGCCTTTGCGAATTCCGTGAATTTGCAGTCTGCATAATGTGTTTTTTGTTTAATTTCTAGTGTAATTTTGTGTCTTAGGCGGAATAGGTGAAAGTACAACCACCTTAATTCATTAAGGATTGTGCTTTAATTTTGCTGCTGGGATAAACTGATTGCCATGGCAATGAAATCTTACCAGAGTCATGCTGAGCTGTTGCTGAAGGACTATTTACTAGCTGATCCTTTGATTCCATACACTTCTATTATAGGCGGCATTTTTGCTTGCAAGATGGTATGTTTTTATTCATCATGGATTCTTTTTCTTTATCAAAATGTGCTTTTTTGCAGTATTGGTCGTGTTCCCTTCATTTTGTATCTTTAATTGTGCTTTGTCTCTTGTCGTTTGCTCCTTTTCAGGTCTATGATCTTACCAACTTGTTCAGTTCTGTTTACTTTAAGAGCTATTCCAACCTCACTAAGTTGCAACGCATTGAATGGAACAACCGGTGATTGAATCTTTTTATCTAATGTTAACTTTCTAATTGCCTTTTGTTTTGAATTTTTATAATTTTTTTTTTTGAACTATCAATGCAGTGCTATATCCACTTTCCATGCTGTTCTCATTACAATGATGTCACTATACTTTGTATTTTGCTCTGATCTCTTCTCTGATCAACATCACGCTGGTCTTATTACATTTCGGAGTTCTGCGCTGTCTACATTTGCATTGGGGGTAAGGATGCTCCAGATAGCTTTCATTTATCTTTGGCATGAAGTACATGAGCATGTTTATGCTTTAAACTGCATTGATTTTTTGGAGATGTTGAGGTACGTTGGTGTTGTTTCAGTGGTGCAATGGTAGTCACAAATCAACGTATGATTTCCTTCTTACACATTAGGGCCAAAGTTTCTTTGTTGTTGACCTAATAGTTGGGGTGTATCAAAATATCTCAGTTACCATTGAAAATAACAGAGCATTGTCTTGTGGAAGCCACAAATAGATGCGAAAGGCTGGTATCTTTTTCTTACAATCCAAAGAGCTGTCGATGTCTTGAAGCTGGTATTGTAGAATTTGTGTTGATGGCACTGCAATGGAGTGACAGAAACGAATTGATGTGCAGCAAACTGTCAATTAGCACAAGGGAACCCAAGGGAACACTGGAAGGCAACATTCCTTGGGCAGAATTTGTTGGGAAATTGTTCTGTTGATCTTGTTTGATAATGTGAAATGAAGAACTGATGGTTATATTGGCATACTTTTTTGAAAGATTACAAAACACTCTTTTCCATCTGAATTCCTAATTTGATGCACACAGTTCTCCAGAATACCCAGTTGAGTGCCCCCGCTCCCCCTGGGGTGCTTTGATTTAAGAAAAAGTGGTTCTATTTTGAAAAAAGTTTTTTAGCTCCTGCACTCGTATATTGAAGCCATACTTAACAATAGGAAAATATCCAGTCCCTTTTAGCTAATTAACTTCTGAATGGAGAACAAACGAAATGTTCTATGTTATTGTTTACTGCAAATCTTTACAATATTATCTATCAACTTTCAAACACAGACAAATTGGACTTGAAGAGTCGACACTGGCTATTTGGTGTTTTGCACAAGTTAGCACTTTTTGGAGTATCCTTTTTAAAGATATTCTATATTCTCTCTCCCCCTTTCTCTTGATTTTAAATCAGTATGCATGGATTTTACTGCATAAGATTGTGTCTTCAGGCATTTCTCTCACTTCTTTCATCCGAGTGATGGTACACATGCAAGGAAGGGATGGCATAGTTCTAGAAAAACATTACATTACCTTCTTATACCGTTGATGGAGGAATTTCATTGCTTGAAAATAACTTCTTGATGGCCACTCCTGTGGCTTCAATTAAAACTTATCTGCTATATGTGGCTGGGGCAGTTTTTACCCAAGAGATAAGTCTAGCCAAAAGTCTGGATGCCCATGTCATCAAAAAGATTTCTACAGTTTCTACTAGATTTGACACTTTTTGTTTGCCTAATGGTATCATTTTCTGCTGTGTTATGCATCCTTCATCTCATTCTTTGATGTGATATTTACAGGTTTCTGTTGGTTATTTCATTGCTGACCTTGCAATGATCATTTGGTTTTATCCTTCTCTGGGTGGGATGGAATATGTAAGTACAGATTCTTTTGTGCAAAGATTCCCCCCTCATTTTTTTTTTTAATTGCTCCTTTGCAAGCACAACCTAGTTGATGAGACATGTCAGCTAGGAAGTTTTCATTAAACTTGGAAATGATCATAAATACGATGATAACATCATTATGTCAGGTGATTCATCATTTTCTTTCCATGATTGCCGTGGCATATTCTATGTTGACTGGGGAGGGGCAACTTTACACCTATATGGTTCTTATTTCAGAGACAACTACTCCCGGAGTCAACTTGAGATGGTAATTTTTTTTTATTTATATTGATTTAATGGCCAAGCATTGTGATTTTGTTATCGATTGCGATACAATCAGCTTGTTTTTGTGAAGGTATCTTGACACAGCTGGAATGAAGAGGTCTAAAGCATATATATTCAATGGGGTTGTAATATTCTTCGCTTGGTTTGTAAGTGAACTGTGAATTGAAATAAACACCCATTTCAAGTTACTAATTCCTAAACATTCTTTTTTAACTATAAAAACTATGTGCAGGTTGCTAGGATACTCTTGTTTGTCTACCTGTTTTACCATGTCTTCCTGCACCGATATCAGGTAATAACTATACCTGCCAAACTTTTCCATATTATGATTCTGACCGTGATGCAAAATTTGAGGCATAACTGTAACAATTTAAAATCTCAAACTTAAAACATAACTAGTTGAATTTAATTTTGACTATAAGATCGAAACTCAAAAAGATTGATCATAACCGAGGCTTAGTTGAGTTGAGGAATGCAGTCTGTAAGCATCATATTGCAAGCAACCTCCTTTTTATTAAAACTTAGAGATGGTTTTTTTTTTTTTTTTTTTTTTGCCTTCCAAAATGGGAAGGAGCCTGGTTTGTGTTGCTGTCAGATCTAAGGGGAAGCACTTCATCTTGCCATATACTAAACAAACTTAAATATAAAATCTTGTTGAAAAGAAGACAACAAAAGAGAAAGAATGACTGCATTTTTCAGTAGATACTAATTTCTTGCAACTTGACATTTCCGAAAATTTTAAGATTCATGTTTGATGATTTGTGTTGGAATTTCAACTTGATGGCTACATTTTTGTTTTCATTTCTCAATGCATCAATGCTTCCTTGGTGAGTAAAATTTGCATGTTGATTGCTATTTTTGTTTCCTCCCCACAGATCAAGCAAATGCATTCCTTTGGACAACTCTTGGCACTAGTAGTGCCGGTAGCGCTCTTTGTCATGAATTTGATTTGGTTTTGGAAGATTTTCAAGGGAATGAAAAAGACATTAGCAAAGCGGCAGTGAATAACATATCTAACTGGATTTGTGCAAACAAGGAAGTAGGCTATATATACCTCAGCTCATGCCACTTATTGGGTGTGTTTATTTTGTGCATTCTCTCTCCCTGTGTTGCGCACATACATACTTGTAGATGGGCTTTCGACAATAGGAAGCGTTGTGAAAAAAAGTACATATTTTCTTTGGAATTTTATTTTTTCTTTTTGTTTACGGATGAATGTAATTATGTAGATCTAATTCTCAAGAAGAAATTGAATATAGGTCTATAGTGATAAGCAGGAAAGCGGAAGCTGTCTGTACAGAAACGATGAGACATTTATAACTGGCTGTACTTTAGCCATACGAAATTAAATGGATCAGAGTTAGCTTGAACCTTGTAGTAAGGGATAAGTGAATGATGAAATGAGATACGGAAGTCAAACAGTTCGTTATAGGTCTATTGAATTACATTTCTTTGTTCTGTTTACGCAAATGACTAGTAAAGTTTGTGGCATTTTTAAAGTGTGATCTGAAGAAACACCTAAAAATAGGATTGGGCAAAATGCTATCCTCAAAGAGGTAATAGCTATCTTCTTAGGGCAAGAGATAGGAAAAAGAGCCCATAGGTTTGTTTTCCGTTCAGGTTGCATGAGCAAGCAACCCTTAAAAATGTCACAGAATAATTCCTTCCGAGGCCAGAGCTCTAAAGTCAACAGCTATACAGTGTGATTCCTTCCGAGGCCAGAGCTTTACACTCAACGGCTATACCGAATGATTCCTTCTGAGGCCAGAGCTCCACAGTCAACAGCTAGGCTTTATTTTAACTTGCATGTTTTTGGAGTTCTTCTTCGGAAACTCTCTTTCATGATCATTGCCCTTTTAAAAAGACAAACAAAATAAAATAAGAAACAGGCAGGAATAGGGAACTAGTGTCCGGTGGAGGCATTCATATTTGAACTGCCAATCCTTAAGAAATTTGCTCATAAATTTTTTTAATGCATAAAATATGTAAACATATATGTATGGGAAATTGGGAATCAATATTTATTTATTTTCTTTCCTATAATATGTGTGAATTGTGTGTTTGTACTCGATTAATAATTATGCTCTCTTGCATTTAGAACTCTATTATAAGATTATTTCTTATTTTGTTTTGCAATTTATTTTCTTTATGCCTATAATAAAACTTGTCTTGCCTCAACGGAAAAAAGAAGTTATTTTTCCATTTGTAATTACCAAACCGGTTTGAAATTGCACCAAATTTATTTTTTGCGGTTTGATATATGGTTTGGTTTGAAATATAATTAAACCACTGCTTTATGGTTCAATTTGTAAAAAAATCGAAAACTGGCAAAAACCAAACCTTGAGCACCCTTGTGCAATCATAACATAAGACGCTAGCACTTAGCCCCAAAACAAGAAAGGGAAAAAAGAGAAGAAACATTTACAGGGAAAGAAGTACAAAGAGGAAACTCAAACGAAAGGACAAGACGAGTCGTCGACTAAACAAACAAATAAAAACTGAATATTTATAGCTTAATTAGCTTGTCAAGAAATTAAAAATCTTCCTCCATAAACATTTAGTCACTGACTAACACTTCATCACTTATTTTCATGTTCAGCTTATTACTAACAGTCCAATATCTCTATATAGTTACTATGCTGTCACTTTGAACTATAAACTAACCCTACTAATTAATATTATATATCTGGGCGATCGATCATGTTCCTATGGTTAGATCTAAGTTTATGAAATTATCCGTTGAATTATATTCACGATGTTGATCGTTAATTAATGGCCATAACTCTCTTTCTTCTGCAGTACAGCACGCCATTGATGGGGTGAATGACAATGAGAGCTCACAAGTTTCAGCTGGTACCCTGTCAATATTTTCTTCCTCAGACTTTCTACCAACAAAGCTTGTGCCTGAATCCTGCAAAGATATGATGTACACCAATTTTGTAATTAATCAATATTGATGTAACACATTAAGAAAGCTGTTGGGGTTAAACAGCCATTTAAACTTGGGTTATTAACCAGGCATCATTATCACTGTCCAAAAAAAAGGGAAAAAGAAAAGGAAAAATTAAATTATAAATTGTATGATATACATTTAAAATCATATTTATATATGTTGGGTGTCAAATATTTAAGCTATTATGTGACCCTCTAATCATAATTTCATATTAAATTCTCCAGCTAGCTAACATAAAAAAATATGATCTATGAAATCACTTCGATATATCATGAATTGATTTACTACTATAAAAATGACAAAAAATATTTTGTTGTTTATTCTCAATAGCTGCCTCAACTCGTGTCATTAGGACTCCTGTAACATGTTAAATAACTGTTTTCTTCTAAAAGTTTTGAGGTAGAAGTCACATAAGATCCTAGCAGTGTTTTAGATCATTGATCATCTATACTTGGTATAATTAATAAACTGGTACAAACTTCTCTAACAATGTGATATATATATTATGATCAAGATCTTTAAAAGGTTTTATTTAAGTACTCCTAAGCTTAGATTAAACAATACATACACAAGTTAATAGTCATATTTATCTTCCAATTAACGAACAAATTAGCAGATCAGTTATAAGGTTTTAGAAATCCGGAAATGTTAGAAAACTGGCAATAGATGACAAATTCACTGAAACAAACATATAAGGAGTGCAAATAATACACACACACACACCAATTAAGTTGTAACTTGTAGAAAGCAAAATTTTTAAAGATCAACAACTCTATGTAAAAAAAAAAAAGAAGAAGAAGAAGAAGAAGAGATAATTAGACTATAAATACACTATCTTTTAATTTTTTCTCAATCAACTATATAAATTTTAATTTTTTTTTGTTTGAGTATAGAAATTTTTTTAAAATTTTCAATTAAATACTTTCATCAATTTTTTCGTTAACCGACGACTTATGTTATTTTCAGAATACCAAATTATATTTTTTTTCTCAATCAAATACTTGAACTTTAATTATTATTATTTTTCATTTGAGTGTATTAATTTTTTTAAAACCGTCAATCAAATACTTTTATTAATTTTTTCGTTAGCCAATGATATCTCTAAATGCCTAATATATTATACTTTTTCTTTCTTTTTTGCTGCTTGAAACTTTCCCTCTAAATTATTCTACCATTTTAAAATTTGACAAAGAATTAAAAAATATTTTTTTTACCTGTAAAATTTCAAACTAAACTTAGTTAGACTTGCTGTTTAAAAAAAAAAAAAATCTCAATTAAGTTTTAGGGATAAAAGTTGAAGAAAACACAAACGTAAGATTTTTTTGTCAAGAAAATTCATTTGTGTTTTTCTTTAATTTCACTTCTAAAACTAACTAAGGTTTTTTTTTTTTTTTCTTTCAGCAAACCTAATTGAATTTCATTTGAGATTTTATAGTTAAGAAAATAATATTTTTTTAATTTATTGTCAAATTTTAAAATGATAGAATAATTTAAATAGAAAGTTCATTTGAAAAAAAAAAGATAAGGTTATAATTTTATATTCAAACACGTCATTAATTAACCAAAAAATTGACAAACATACTTGACTGAAATTTTTTTTAAAATTAAGTTGATATACTTAAATAGAAAAAAGTTAAAGTTCATATACTCGATTGAAAAAAAAAAACAAAATTATAATTTGGTATTCAAACACATCAGTAGTTAATGAAAAAATTAACAGAAATACTTGATTGATAGTTTAAAAAAAAAATTTAATCTATTCAAAGAAAAAAATTATATACTCTATTGAGAAAAAATTAAAAATTGATATACTTATAATTCAATTATCACCGAAACAAATGGAATCTTCGTGTACAGATTTTAAAACTCTTCGTGTTTTTATTATGTAGATACATATAAGTATTGATGGATATGCTTTTGTACCTGTTTCTGATCCGGTTCACCACCTTCTTCTCTTGTTTGTAGGAGTCCATTGCTTTCATCAGAAAATATATCATATTTAGAATCCGACCTCTCACATTCTGATTTTAATAAGTATTCACCTTGTAGTAGCCTGCAATACACAAACCGTTATAGCATGTTAAAGAGAACCCAATTAATTTTTCAACTTTTTTAATAGCTAAAATTATGCCAAAACTTATAAATTATTTGCTTTTTTCTTCATTTTTTTCTTTCTAAATTTTATTTAATTGCTTATTTCTTAGCAATTAGGAAGGAAAAAAAGCATTTATATTTTTGGATATGTTTTTAGTCATTGAAAAATTGCACTTACACCTTAAAATTGATGAAAAATATAACTAAATGATTTAATTTTAAATAAAAAATAATTTGAGAGAAATCTAACTGGAAATTAAAAGTTAAGAAACTGATTCTCAAATAATTTAAATTCAAAAAAAAAAAAATTGTATCGTTTTACTGTACATTAATTTTAAGTATTCAAAAAAATGTTAAACTTCTTTCGATGAACAATCTTGGAAAAACATCTGAAGAGAAATTTTCAGGTTGCTGTTAATTATATTAGCTTGCTAGGGCATTAAACTTATACACGATTTATTCATTAACAAAAAAATTGTAAATCAAGGACTTTCGTAAAGGGAAACTGTTCTTTTCATTCAAGAAAAAAAAGTGAAGTAGAAGAAGAAAAACAAAATGACCTGATAAATTAGATGGCAACAGATGTATAGATTATAACTTTTTCTTGAATTTGTATCTCGCAATTAAGGCTCTTAGGAAACTTGTGCTTTTTTTTTCCTCATTTTTTTGACAATCGACATTACGATAAAGCATATATATATATATATATTCATACCTCTGAGAGGAGAAAATTGAGGAGATTCCCATGTCATCAAGTTGTGTTCTTTCTGCTTGCAGATGCTTCTTCATGGGTATCAAGACATTGATGTTTTTGGGACCTTTCATGCTTCTGTACATCTGTCAAAACCAGAGTTCAAAGATTAAGGGAAGAGCTAATTATACGTTCACATTCATTACGTAGTTTATGTGGTTTAGTTGGCATCACCTATTGTCCTAATCTGTTTTAATTAGTACTGTCTAATCATGTTTACCTTTTTTCCTTATAATACTATGTAGTACTATGTTAAAAGACCAATTCTTTCAAAATATTAACTTTTAGATGAAACTCGTAAATATATAATTTATATTATTTTTTAATACATTACATGCTTATGCTTAATTATTTAAGATTATCCTTACAAAAAGAACAAAAATTCTGTCATGCTGTCACATGCATTTACTATAAACTATGTCGGCATGCATGAATCTCATATTACTGTTCATGTACAAAATAATGGGTCAGTGATTTCTTTTCTTTTCTTTTTTTCATTTTTTAATACTTCTTATTATTGCAATAAATTCGGTGGATAAAGGGTTAAAGCACATCATTTATGAATGCCATTTCATTTACCATTAAAAATAAATGTGCGTGTGAGTGTGATCCGCTGATTTTTATTTTTAACTCATGAGCACGTACCTCCTTTAGCTTTAGAGATAGCAATACAACAAGCCCAATCTCCAAAATGAGCTATTTTTGTGTAGATATCACATTAGAGATGGGGAAATATCATATATAGCATTAAGATTGAATCAACTAACTACTAATAATTGGTTTTGAATGGACTGATGAGCCACTGCAATATTTAACAAGCTTAGAACGAAGAACTCCTTCAGGTTTAGGGTTCTCAAATTCATCATGAGTGTCTCCATTACTATTATTAAATTACACTCCTTAGTAAGAGTGCTATTACCTAACATCACATGGAACAGGCTTGAAGTGTATAAATTCCCTGGATCTTCTTCAATATAAAAACCTAGCTACCATTATTATTATTATTATTATTTTATTCTCAAGATATTATAAGCTCCAAAATCCAGACTTTGCTATTTAATCGGACATATAAAACATAAAAGGATTTTATATATGTATTAAATATCGTTTGTTTAAATGATTAGAAACTTTCAGTTCAAACCAACCTTATTGAATAGCTACTATTAATTTATATATTGTACAACATCTTATGCAGTATAGATAAAGGTATCTTAATTCTCAAAATTAAGTATCCTTTGGGACCATCCAAAATCAATTGATCTGCACTTTATTTTTTAAAGACAAATGACATGTGTGAATAATTGAATGTTAATTGGTTATTGATGCTGAACTAATTAATCTGTTTGTGCAGAGAACATATACCATCAAATTAATTAGGTATAAGGTCTCATTAAATTTTGCAATGCACGAGGATGGATTCCAAAGAAGAAAAAGATTTGCGATTGCTTTATTCAAATTAATTAAATAGTTAGGTTTGCCTATATGATAGCAAAAGGACCATCCTTAATTAATTTAAATATGTCGCTAGGATGAGGACCTCATTATAGCATCGCAAGCCACCATATGCAGTGCAGACGTGTAAAATCATATATAAAATGTACAGATTAATTCCAAATCTGATGCAACTAATCAATGGTGTTTTTGTTCTTGTAACTCTTCCACTTAGAATGTCTTGCTGTTTTAACGATCTGATCATAATTTTGTTCTTTTTTGGCTGGAATGAGAGACATACCTGAAGATGGCTTTTAACATGAGAAATCTTCAGTTCTTTCACGCTCATCATCTGTAGAATTCGCTTAGGCGTTGCTTCTGTGCAAAACCATCAATACAACATCATACACATATCAGTACTGGAGAAGAGTACAGATCGATGCTTAAGTACTGCATATGCATGATCCTGCCAGATTTTGTTTTCTCAGTTTTTAGGGCATGCAGATTAGGGCACAATAAAAAGAGAGTTCGACTATAATTTCCTCTGAGAAACTGTAACTCTAAACATGGTTTTTATTTAAAGAAATTACGCGGTGTCTTCTTTCGTGGCCTTAAGAAGCCTTAGAGACGACCAATAGAAAAAAACTTACTGTGTTTTCCGCCGAGGCGTTCAACAGCTTCAACAAAATGTTCGTGGAGCTCAGAAGTCCACCGGAGACGTTGATCTTCAGATTTGTTGTATTGTCTTACTCCATGTTTCTGCGGAGTTTTCATGGCTATAGCTATAGCTTCTGTGTGGTTCAGAATGTTCTTTTGCGAAGCCTAACTAATATACACAACTATATATGCAGGGGGAAACGTTTACCCTTGAATATGAACGCAAATCTGCCTGCAACCATAGGAGATAAAGAAACATATGCTTCTCAGTCTAGGACCAAAGACTTTTTTAAGTTCCTGTTCAAAGATGTTTTCTTTTTATTCAGTGGCAGTGAACTCAACATAATTTGGCAAGTTGTGCCCCTCTCTCCGGCCCCAAGCCTACTTTTTGGCTACGTATGAAGATTGAACTTATTATATAGTATTTAAGAATATAAAAAGTAAAACAAAACATACTTTGCTTCGACATTCCAAGCTTAATAATTTGATTATTGATAAGGTATTTTTAATTTTTTTTTTTTTTTATAATAGAAGAAACAGTCATATAATTACCATTATATGTACAGGTCAATATTGTAATTTTAATCTGCTTTAAACAACTAATATATTTAATGATTTGCATTGACTTAGACCAATATATATTATAAAAACACAGTAGATCATTTGGAATCGGCTGTTCACTAATATATATAGGATGCAGAATTTCTTTTAGAGTTCCAATCCATGAAACTACACGACGATTTCTTTGAAAGAATTTATTGAATAAGAGAAGTCAACAAAAATTAAAATTCTTCCTACCAAAATGATTTGCTAAGGCCAACGACTTTAATTTTTTTAATTATCTTTTCATATAATTAATAAATCAAAAGTTTATAACAAAAATAAGGATTAAAAGTGCCGAGAGCTGAAAAAAATGGAATCCAGTCCAGTTCGAGCTAATTATACCCAAAAAGCAGCTAACCTAACCTAACTTTATAAGCCTTTTTTTTTTTTTTTTCCCATCGAACATTATAAGTTTTGGGGAAAAAAATGGAGAGACCAGCCGGTCCACCCCACCCCAAAACACAGGCATACACAAAGAAACGACACATATATAGATGGGTTTTGGATCATAAATTCAATTCAAAGCAACACAACCAGGAAAGAAAAGATGATAGAGTGACAGCTGACGCTATCTATGTCCCTTTCTTTCTATTGCTTTTCTTTTTCTAAATATTTTCTTGTTTGTTTGTTTGTTATTCGATTAGGAAATTTCTTTTTTCTTGATCTCCAATTCCGACCTACTTTATAGACTAGTTGTCGTGATTCTACTGTAGTCTTTTTCTTAATTAATTTTTCAGTTTGGGTTTCTGTTCCTTTAGAGGGAGCCGCGTGTTGGCAATAAGCTCGGTCTGGGTCGAACGATTGGCAGCGGGTCCTTTGGAGAGATCTATCTAGGTTTTTTATTTATTTAAATTAAATGATTCATTTAATTTAAATAATTATTATTATAATTCTAATACTCTTCTCTTCTCGATCATTTGCTTTTTGGATTACATTGATTCAATTCGGTACTAATATCCAGACTAATGAACAAGCCGCCATGAAGCTCCTGAGTTTCCTTTTTCAGTAATTTAATGTCCCTTTCGATTTTTGAATTCTTCCTCGCTTTTCGATAGTTATGCAATCTCATTCAGTTCAGTTAAATATTTTGCTGTAGATAGATGGTTCATGTAGTTGTAGTATGAATTAATGCCGTCGGTAATTTTTTTTTTTTTTAGCTGTAAACGACCAATCTAATTATGAATAGCTATATTTGGACTCGAGCAATTAACAAATTTAAAATTTAAATCAAGAAATTAGCATACGCGGCTGTGTTTTTCTTAATGTCTTCAAGCATTCCCGGCTGTGAACTAGATTTTCTATTCCTTCTTACTACTGATGTCTTGGTGTGACAAGTTTATTCGAGCATGATAAGAGTTTATAATCTCATCAGTTTGTTTGATGTTATACATTATAAGCTTCCAAATACAAAATTCTCAAGCTAACAGCTAAACTCCCAAGAACAACTTACATTATCCATAACATACCACAAAAGTCGGACTCTTTATTTTGCTGATAAATCTAAGAATTTTGCAAAAAATCAAAGACAAGATTTTTTTTTTGAAAAAGAGAGAAAAGAAAATTTATAAGCATTGTAGAAATTTTGAACATGCAGCATATATATATATATATATTAAAAGAAACTAAAAAGGAAGAATGTGCTCTCTTATTAAGTCAAACATACACATTCTTTCTTTTTAGTTTCTTTTAATATATATTAGTTCAATGATTAGGTTTTTTATCACAAGCGCATGTGGCCATAACCTAGGATATGTATCTAAGGATTTTTTGCCCTTTCTTTTCTCACTTCGAGGACATGGCACCTTTTGGATGAGGAAAGAAAGAAAACCCTCGATCGGTATTGGCAAAGCAACAAGTAAAGTCAAGGTAATGACCATAACCTATCAACTTCATGTCAATAAAAGACGGTGCCTACTTTTGGACCCATCCGATTCGTCTTGTGGCTGCCGTGTTCAACTCTACCCTCTCTCCAATTTCAATATGTAAGAAAAAAGGAAGCAGGTAGCTAAACCCCGAGAATTAATTTCTTGAAAGCTGGTTCATCAAATTAATGGTTGATAACATCCCGATACATTAAAGATCCATGGTATGCAATGAACTTTCCTTATCATCCACTCGTGGGCCTCTCTTGTTGCAAGATTTTGACCGGTTGATTTATAGATATTGTGGGTGGGTGCCTCTCCCATGCACGTAAATCACACCAAAATGGATCTGAATTTGCAAACAGAGAGGAAGGAATATATCTCACGTTTTCCTCCCTTTCTTTATTTTGCATAAATTATTTATGTATGCTGTGGAAGATTACTTTAATTTTTGGCCAAAAGACCAATGCACATACAGACATTTTAAGAAATGGAATTTTTCATTCCTTGTGAAAGTGATAACTGTAAATTTTATTTCTTTAATTCACTCGATAAGAATGCTAAATAATGTAGAATAATATATAGTCAATATAGCTGATTCAGATGCCACAATCAGGCATCCCATTGCTAATTCTCTTATTTCTAGTCAAATGGAATCTTTGAAAGACTCTCTCTCTCTCTCTCTCTCTCCCTCCTTATCCAGTTATCCCTTCAAGACACAGTTTGGTCCTCGTGATGAAATACCAACAAATTAATTTAAGGCCTCTATATTATACAGTAAAGTAATCCATTATTTTTTCTATCCTACTTAATTTGAAACATTCAACCAAAGTTGCTAGCTAGGTAGAAATGCTGCTTACTTTGTGTGGCTATCCATGATTCGACGGTTATGGGTTTAAAAGAAAATATGCATGTGAAATTGTTCAGGTCAAGTAGATAGCCTCCAAAGGGAGTAGTTGTTTTTTCTATCGAAACGTGCATGGGAGAAGGGGTACTGTACGTTGCGACTTTCAGCCCTGTTGCTGCTTTACCAGAATAATTGTGGAACTGCAAGGGAAAATATAATTGGAAAACAATACTCACATTTTTTTTAATCTTCCTTTTCTTTCCCTCTTCTGCTATCTAGTTAACTTCACCTTGAATTTTCTAACCCTTTCGACGTTTGGTACAGATCGGTAATATTACACATACATGAGCCATAGTGATGAAAATTTACACTTCTTTCCACATTATTGTTGAGAATGTTTTCATTCTTCAAATCATGCGCCTCTCATTTCTTGAATGTGTGCGCCACCATTTTATCTTTGAAAAAGATGCCAGCGTGCAACGAGACAAATTTAGTTATCATAAACCTTTTGACAAAACATATTTCTACCGTTCAATCAAAGCTAGCCCTAAGTGCTAAAGCTTCGACTAGAAGGTTTTGTAGACCGGAAAACACATAGGAAAGGAAAATAAAGCAAGAAAAGGTGAATGAGTTAAAAGAGGCATCTCTATGATTGAAACTGTCTAGAAAGCATGATTTACACGTGTAACATTTGATTTGATGAGCTAGCTAAGGAAACTTATCTTTAATGTGAAGTGGGTTGGTTCCAACATCAACAATGGAGTATTTGGTTGCCAAAACATAAATTAAGAGGACACTCGATTGCACTAATTACTCTATCATTCTAGATAATAATCTTAATTAATAAGTTAATACAACGATTACTGAGAGAAATTTATAATACTTAGGTGTTGTTTGATAATGAGGAATAGAGTGATAGGAATATGAATGCAGGAATCGAATGAAAATTAAGAAATCGGAATGATATTTGTATTCTAATACCGTGTTTGGAATACTAATAAAGAATCGAATGCAATTTAAATTTTTTTATATCCGGTTTTTTATATAAATAAAAATAATGATTAAAAAAATAATTTTATTAAACTATATGGTTGTAAAAATAATAAAGGTGATTGTGGTTATGATAGTGGTGGTTCTAGTGGTGGTGGTGGTAGTGATGGTAATGATTGCCGAAGTGGTAGTGGTGGTTATGATTGTGATAATGATGGTGGTAGTGGTGGTGGTGATGGTTGTGATGATGCTATTAATGGTGGTAGTTGTGATAGTGGTAGTGATTGTGGTTGTGATGGTGGTTATTGTGATGGTAGTGATGAAGATGGTGGTGGTGGTGGTTGTAGTTGTTGTAATGGTGGTGATGGTGATAGTCGTGGTGATGGTGATGGTGATAAAAGTAGTTAATATATAATAAATAAATAAAATATATTATTATTTTCTAAAAAAATTCATTTTCATTTCTTATTTTTTATTCCCACATATTATGTGAGAATGAAGTTGTGTGTAAATTTTTATTCCCATTCTCACTCTTCATTCTCATTTTCACTTCATTCTTTTTAACCAAACATATCTACAATGTGAGAATAAAAGTTTCATTTTCATTCCCATCACTCTATTCCCGATTACCAAACAGACACTTAAAGAGTAACTAGTGGCATGTATAGTAGTTACTCCATGGATCCACTTGAAGGAGAGAGATAGACATTAAAAAGAGAGTGAGAGAAATAAGAGAGTGAAAATAAAAAAAATTGAGCGAACGAGAAAATCTTTTTATCATCTTTGGTGGGTTTAGATAAAATTTTATATGTCTT